CTAGAGCTTTATGTGAAGTCATTGGCACGGAGATATCTCAAACTCTCTTATAGAGAACTTCATCTTAAATGGTGGAACTGGCATGTATACAAAAATATCCACACCCAAGTAAAAGAGCTGAGGAAGGATCTAGATAGGGTTGAGAGACAACTACAGGCTCGATGGACTGACAATACTTGGAAGAGACGAGTTCAAGTAAGTGAGCAACTAAAGAAGGTTGTGCGACAACAAGAAATATATTATCTCCAGAAAACATACATCGTGGCTATGCGAAGGTGATAAGAACACATGTTTCTTTCATGCCTCGATTACATATTGATCTTGATCTAATTGTACATCTCTTCTAGAGGTGTATGACCAGAACACATCTCATATGTAGGAGGCAAGAATAGCGTACTTTTGTATCTTTTTTGCCTCTCAACCAATTGAGATCTTTAGAGATATACTCTCATCGATTCTATCTTTACTTACCCACCAAGAAATCTCATCTATTAAGACCATACTATTAGGGAGGAGATTCGAGATGTGGTCTTCTCAATGAATAGAAATTGAATACTTGAGCTTGATAGTTTTTTAGTAGATTTCTATTCAACATGTTAGGACATCGTCAGAATAGATTTAGTTCATGCCATCAAAGAATTCTTTCACCGCAAAATCTTTCCACGAAGTTGGAAAGCCACTTTTATTACACTCATACTAAAAGTGGTCAATCCAACTTATTTTAGAGACTTTCGGCTCATCAATCTTTGTAATGTGTGCTATAAAATTGTATCTAAGATCATTACAGTACGACTAAGTATTTTTCTTAATAGACTCATATCTCCAGAGTAGTGTGAATTTGTCAAAGGTTGACACATTCATGATAACATCATACTAGTTCACAAATTAGTATAATCCTTTGACCAAGACATTCGTGGTTCCAACATCATCATCAAATTAGATATGAAAAAGGCTTTTGATAGGATCGAGTGAAATTTTCTTACCGAATTACTTTGATGCTTTGGATTCACCAACGAGTTTATTGACCTAGTCAATCCATGTGTTACAGAGAATCATTTCTTCCTATTAGTGAATGACACTTCCATACCTTTCTTCACGGCCACGTGTGGGTTATAGCAAGGTGATCCCCTATCACCCACTCTCTTCACATTACTTGAAGAAATCCTGGTCAAACCCTTTCTCAAGCAATGACATGTGGGCTCATCTAATCATATCATTCGAAGAAGAGTTACCTGATCATATCACATTCTTTGTTTGCTAATGATGCGATACTTTTCTTCAATGGATGTGAAGTGTTCATCAAGAGACTCATGACTATCATCTTGAGCTACGAGCAAGTCGCAGGCCAACTCGTTAATGCTTTGAAGAGTAACTTCATAGTGACATCTTCTACTACCATTAACACCATATGACACATATAAAACCTAACAAGATTCTTGTTAGCCACTACTCTTTGATTACCGTAGATACCCTATCTTCCTCAGACACATTCGGGTTCATTTCTTTGATTTCCTTTTGTGAGGTGAATTTGTACCTCTTTATGGGATAGTCAGCTCGACAAGCCTCATTGTGAACGTCGAGTTTCTTGAGAGAAGGTATGTCGATCGATGGACGAGGGTGACCAAGAGATTAGATGCCTTGAAGATATCTTCAATATACTTTAGAAGAAACTCGTATGACGGATGAAGACAACGAGATCACTCCTAGGGATTTTTGTGCTAGCCAAATATGACGATTGAGTTAGCCAACTGATTGACATAAAAGGAGGGAAGTGATGGGTAAATTAGTAAAGATATTAGCTACAGATGAGGCCTTTAATTTGATGGTGAGTGAGATAAGACATTATCAATGCTTGATATAACACTTGACTTATTGACACTCTCTTGGCCTCCTTTACCTTCTTTATGTCATTCTAGCCTCGTCTCACAATAGTTTAGCTTCTCAATGAAGATACTAGTATATTCTTTGACATGCACAAACTCTAATTAGATTTACTATTAGAGATTTTGTTGATAAAGTTGAGTCATAGTGATGATGAATCCATCTAGACTCTTACCTTAGATAAAAGTTTCTTTTGTAGTTCTTTTTAAAATTACTTTAGAAATCATTCCCCAAAGTAGTTTTGGGAGATCTCATTTGGCACCCTACTATCATATCTCAAGTCTCTTTCTTCATGTAGAAATTGATATACTGCGGACTTCTTATTGATGATCGTATGTCCATCACAAGACATAACATTTGTTCTAGGTGTCATTGTTGCCCAATCATTCTAAGTAGTGAAACTATGAGCCACTTATTTTTTCATAGTGTTGTTGTTACGAAATGTTGGAACCAACTCTTACTAAATTGGTCTCTAGTATTTCATCATTTTTTATTTCTTACACCACTAAAGATTTTCAAGAGAGTATATAATTCACCGCAAAGCTCTAGGGGTAGTCCCTACCTACGTATTTCTATAGTATATATGTTATGAGAGATATGAAAGAGTGAAATCTCTCTCATTTTGTAGGTCAACAAATGTGTTCCCTAGAGATCATGAAACACATCACACAATGGCTGTGAAGTACCCATCCTTTAGTATCACCTACAGCGACATGCTAGGAGTCTAAGCCACACATACACACAGAGATCTCTACTCAAGTCGTCCAATAGAGACTGCCGCCAATTAGATGCTTGAAGTTGAATGTCGACGAAGTAACTCGAGAGAACCCTAGACCTGCAGGAGGAGGAGACATCCTACGGAATCATATGGGGAGTATTCTTTTTATCATCTCTTATTTTATAACATTCAAACTAACATTGTAGTAGAGGCTTGTTCTTCTACGAGGAATACAATCTCCATGATATCATCATGGAATCTAATTAATGAGTACTTGTTCAGATGCTACATGTAGGTTTCTATTTCCATTGGCAGCTTTAGAATACTTGGACTAACATCATGTATTGTAGAGGGAGGATCAGTATCATTATACACCAACTATATGAAGGGAACTAGATGGTAGATGTGCTCGCTATACATACAATATACACTCGTATGTACTTTGTATTCTCCTCTTGGCAAGAGATGATTACTGAAGCTTGAGGTCGACATTATTTAAAATAGGTCAGCATGCCAACACTTTGTATATAGCGAACACAGGTACCTGTCACCCTTAGATAGTGACGGATCACTTGAGCCAACCCCCAGCTAACACATGACCTAACGTATGCAACACCGTCAACACAAAGCTATCTTCGCACTATAGATGGAAGAATTTCCCAACAATCTCAACCAAGATGATCAATTTCAGTCACATCTATCACTTCACTTTTCATTTACCACTTTCTAAATAGAGCTATCTCTTGACTCTCCTAATTCTCAAGTATAAGGCTCAGGGATAAACATTTCATCAACATCAATATAATCAAACTTTAACCTAAAAAAATAAAAAGAACTATGATTTACTCTATTATCTTGAATAGAAGCAAATCGTGTGCTGACTTAGAAACTTAGAGTTGTGTGGCCAAATAAAACATGATTAGGGCCTGAGACTAATTATGTTTTCAAAAAAATGGGCCTAGTTTGGGTTTGCTGGCTTTAGATAGCACATTAATAAGCCAGCACATGGGGTACTAGTGCCCTGCTGTTGAACTACGTCGACTTGTGCCTGTGGGCTTGTGAGGACGGGGGGAACGAAGTAGGCCCATTAGACGACCCCCGTTTCCCCACAAGCTCTTACCCAAATGACTTCCCCACCTGCCCACCATTAGCTTGAGATAGAGAAAGATAGTAGAGAGAGAGAGAGAGAGAGAGAGCGACTGGTATTCATACGTGTAGTAGGAACGCATCATATTCTCGGAGATTACCCGTCGTCCCCGTTTGTCTTCCCACGTCCGCATCATATTACTCCGAGACATTACTCCCCGGCAACCTTTCAACTCGTGCAAGTCGTGGGGCGGCATTCTCTGTCTCTCTCTCGCTCTCGCTCTCTCTTCTCTCTCTCTCTCTCTCTCTCTCTCTCTCTCTCTCTCTCTCTCTCCACTATCGCTCTCTCTCTCCCGTAATTGCAGCCCGTCGCCATCCCACAACTGGGACGCTCTTCTCTCCACTTGGCAGCCCCGTATTTCACTATCGACGCCGGCCAACGTGCCCAGGGCCAGCCAGCTCCACGCCATCGCGAAGCCCCTCCTCCACTCCCTTCTACTCCATGACACGTGGACCTCCCCCGTTCACACTCTACCCGTCTAATCTTATTATGAAAACATTCAGCCATTTATTTGAATAATCTAATAAGAATGAACGTCCACGTGGAATATGTATTCCTCCATGCAATCCTAGTTATCTCTGGTCAGCGGGAGTAGCGGGATCCTGTTGACCGGTTTTATGGTGTTAGAAAAAAGATAAGCGTCGAAAATTCGCAAGATAAACATAAAGCTGTCAGCCTCCCCTACACGTGTGCAGATCACGAGCAGTGATCACGGGAAAGCGTGGACGCCCACAGTGCACACGTGTTAGACAAAGACGATGAGACTAGCTCCTGCGGGTAACATCTTGCGCGGGAAAACGCGACTGCCGACACATGACGTGGCAGCTGAAGCGTTTGCCATCAAAAGCCGCCGGTCATCCTTGGGCCACGTATCACGAGGACGGGCTTCCGCTTTTCTGGGAAGGTCTATTTTTTATTACTTAATAAAAAACCCAATAAATGCATGACACCGACTCATATAATCATTACTTCGAAAAAAATAGAAAATCTTTTTACGATTTAAAAAATAAAATTGATAATTGACACGAATAATTGACTGAATAAAATAAAGCACGAGGTCGAATGGGAGGCGGCCGCGTGGACGTCCGACGCCCTGCCAGCGTCGAATTCATATCTAGAAGACCGCCCCGGATATGCACCGGGCCATAATCCTAGAACACGAGAAGCTCCACAGTCGTCGTCCGCAGCAGCAGCAGCAGAAGCAGCAGGAACAGGAAGCTTGTCTCCCTCTCCGCTGGTACAGAGAGAGCCACCATGGCGTCTGACGAGGCTATGACGAGCCGCCTCCGCTCCTCCATGCGAGGCTTGGCGGTAGACGGCGGCGGGAGCTGCGAGTCGCTCCCCGGCCGATGCGGGCGGCGCCGGCGAGGTGCGCCGGCGAGCTTGATGTGGGAGAAGGAGTACGCGAGCGACCCGGAGATCGGCAGCAGAGATGAAGTGTCTTCTTCTTCCTCCCGCCGCCACCACCACGACGGGAGTTGCGGGGGGACGAGGGAGCGGCGGCTGGACCGCGCCTGGGAGATGAAGCGGTGCAACGACGGACACCGCGGTGGCGGCGGCGGAGGCAGTGCGTGCGTGGTGATCCGGCAGAGCGGACCGGGGGCGGGGAGTATTTACATGGACATGGAGGAGGTCAAGGCCTGCCGGGACTTGGGGCTCGAGCTGCCCTGCGACTGGACGGTGGAGATCCCCTCCGGAGCCTTCTCCCCCGTCTCTCCCGTCTCCATCTCCAGCCCCAGTGAGTTCAGAATCCCCCCCCCATCTCATTCAAGTTCTCTACCAGAGGTTGATCCATGTTTTCCGCCTTGTCTGACTCCGTCCATCGTCTTGTTTCTCAGGTAGCGACGCTGAGGACGTGAAGGCGAGCCTGAGGGTATGGGCGCAGGCGGTGGCGCTTGCCTCCGCCTCCGCCGCCGCCTCCTGCCTTAGCATCTGAAGCTTCGGCACGAAACTGGCGACAGAAGAGCACCTTGACGATAGAGAAGCTCAGATAGGATACGAGGATTCGCTCTTCTCCTCATGTTCGCCCATTTACAGGTCGTTTGTATGAACTTGATCCCTCTCGGGGGTCATCTCTCTGATTAGATTGTAGAAAGGTCCCCCCTGGCCCTGACTGGTTTGAGTCCCACGTAACCTCAACCTCGCTGTTTGATTTCTCCCACACGACCCATTTTCCGGTGATCTACGAGCAACACGAAGTACAGATCTCAAGGGATTGAGGGCGCCCGTTTCAGCCCTCCGCCATGGTGCTGACGAAAGAAAGAAGCCCAGACCCTTGTTGGTGTTTGGCTTCCCGATCATCCCGGAAGAAGGCGCGACTCATGAATCTCTGCAAGAAACTGGGACGAGAGCCCTCTCCATCACGAAGTGTGTGGGTGAGGAGAAGGCACGATCATCTTCTACCTCCTCCCCCTCTCTTCTTTGATGCATCTAACTCCTCCGTGAACAACGAAACCTCCTCACCGACCCATCTCTCTCTCTCTCTCTCTCTCTCTCTCTCTCTCTCTCTCTCGCTCTCTCTCTCATCTTGAGAGATAAAAAATGCAATCTTCAGATTCATAGATGGATGATTTCACAGAGTTGAATGCGTCTGTTCATACTCCTAGTCTTGGGCACCTCCGTGGGTCTCACCAGTCATATATGGATGGATGAAGACCCACCCACCCCAAAAAAGAAATATATAAACTGGACTTGCGAAAAGTAACGAGAAGAAATTTTGATTTATCATTTATTTCCGGTAAAGTCATGGGAGGTTCGAAATTATTCTCCCGAAAGATGGGAATCTGGCAGCAGATGCGGCGCCGGCGCCGGCAGCCAAGGATAGGTTAAACCGTCACAACAAAAAAATAATGAAAATGAGAGAGAGAGAGAGGATAAGAAGAGAAAGAAGGAAAACGACCCTCTCTGGTGGGTGGATCAGGCTACACTGCTGGAGATCGTCTCCTCGTTGTCGTCGGAGAAGCAGTACTGCTGATAAACTTGCAGCAGGAGCTCTCTGCACGGCACCACGGCGCCCAGCTTGATGCAGGCCAGGAAGGCTCCGGAGAGCTTCCGGTGGAGGCTGTAGGCTTCGTCCGGCGGCGGCGTGAGCCTGTGCTTCAGCATCGTCGCCCCGATGCCGGAGATGCTGTGGGTGATGTTGGACGACCGGAAGTCGTAACCCCCGGCCGTGCCGAAGGGCAGCCCGACGATGAAGGCGGCCTGTACGTGCGCCTCCAGCATCACCTCCGACTCCATGCCGGTGAGGAAGCCCAGCCGCCGGGACATCTCGATCACGGAGCCCCCGTCCGCCTCCGCACAAGCCAGCACCTGCTCACCACATTAGAGCGAAACTCATATCACGAAAGCTTTTCCCCTGAATCATAAAGCTTTTCTCCATTAGAGCCACGCGCAGCTGCGAGGGTGGGTTGGGTTCGTCTGAGTATGCATTCTTCTTCCGATGGTAATCCACATTCCATCTCCCCCTTGACAAGAAAATCGAAATCAAGACGAGATGATGCGTGGATACCCAACGCGTTTCCTGCCTTCAACCCACCCCAAAGGACCCACCGCAATCATAGAAAAATTAGCCTATTTGAAGAATTTCGTTCATAAATGTGCGGTCCCCGATCTTCATCTAGTGCAGTGGGCGACATTAATTTGTGTTCATCATCTCACACAGCTAAGAAAGCTTACGATTGGATGGGCAGATCGAACTCACGCTCAGCTTACTACTGTTGTATGAAATATCAAATCTTTCAACACATCACAAAAGATGATCACCCGTCAAGACAGTCAATATGCATAGAATGCTGCCATTATTAGATCATATCATACTACAAAAGCATTTTATTATCTATGCTTCTGCTGAGATGATGTACCTTATCGATAAGGTGACGAAGCGTTGACCACTGCCTTGTCTTTGGAGCTTCTAGATTTTAAGGGATGGACAAATGAAATGTGTTCCCGTCCTAGTTGTACCCAACAGATAGATGCCAACACGGAAACGAGAGGTGAATCCTTGCATTAGAGGAGATAGAGGAATGAGGACATCTAATTGCATCCGAAACAATGACTATTCTATCCCCCACCCCAACAGAGAGAGAGAGAGAGAGAGAGCACAGATTCTCTTTATATGGGTATCAAGCTAAATGATAAGCAGGAGTTCTAATTTAGTTACTTTGGGGTGGTGGGAATGTTTATATAGATGACCGCTGCATGATAAATATGGAGGTGTCTGAGGGGGGGAAACCTCCTTCTAAAGACCCTTCTATATTATCCCACTTTTCTTTGGATCTCTATAAGAATTATATGCTTCCCTATGATTTCAACATGAGAATGATCAAATGACAGGAGAACCATTTTAGGAAATGAACAAAGTAAGCTCGCTCAATCATTGCGCGGTGACTAAATGTTGTCAAAAGTCCTCTCCTTAGACTTGATGCAGAAGAAAACTAGACAGGAATGCCGTAGAACAGTAATTTCCATACCCACTAAGAACTAGAAGTAATATATGCACGTGATTTGCATAGTATGTAAATGACAGGTTGAAGACTATGGGAAGGGGTTTTATGCTTATCATCTACAACTGAAAGGATCAGAAAATCAAATCCAATCGAGCCTTTCCATTAAGTTTAGGGAAAGAACATAAAATATGATTTTACCTGGAAGCAGATATAAAAACCTTTTCTAAATCGTGTTGAAATGATAAAACCACCATAATAGGCAAAGAAAGAGAGACCAAATCATGGAAGAATTTCATCGGAAGAAAGAAGTGATCCAAAGAAATATGATCGCGCATTACAGGCAATTCAATTCAACAAGTTCCCAAAGGCTGGAGTGCTGAGTCATGGAGGCATACCATTCGGAGATAATCATCCACAAAACCTTTTGGATACTCTCGAGCTGCCCCAAAGTCGATGAGGTTGATCATTTTGGTGGTCTCATCGTACAAGAAATTGCTCCAATTGGGATCGGTCTGATCAACATCCAGTAGATCATGCAGTCAGAATAGAAAGTTGATCATGGTTCAGCCATTGTGCTCATGCGATATAGAAATAGGGGAATAAAGACAAATCATTGTAGCATCCAATAAGTTTTCCATCAATTTTCCACATTATATAGAAGAGAGAATGGGCATATCTGACTTTATTTTTTAAAAAAATCTAAGACAGAGGCAGTGCCTCAATTTTCCATATTGCCCGATGCATCTGTTGCAAGATTTAGTAATAATTTATATTTTCATAGTTCTCCATAACATGTGGGTCACTGGCGGAATCAGTTCTCACTATGAACAGGGATAAATAAATGGGATTGCTTTCTCATTTGGATAGACCCACCTGCATGAACCGAAAGACAAATAACTCCTTGAGGGTCAGCTCAAGCAATTTCCTCCCAACATAGTTGCGAACTTCCTGATCGAGTAATGCCACCTTATCAACAGGCACGCCTGCAGAAGAAAGGCCGTAAAAGGGTACTGGCTATCAGTGAGAATAAGGTATCCATAACTAACACCTGCAATAAAATCCAGATTAATACTAAAAACAGGGTGGGTTCTGATTGTATACAAAGTATTTACCAGAGACAAGCTCAGTTGTTAACACTTTTCTGCTAGAGAAATCATCTATGACCTTGGGAACATAAAAGCCATCTGCACCAGATACCAGATCACGGAATCGCTTTTGGTTTACCGCTTCTAACTCGTAATCACATTCCCGTGATAACTCCTCTTTCGCTACCTACAAAACATTGCTAATAAGATCATTAAGAACAATACTGTTTAACAAGAAAAGTCTTCTTGTAGGTTTTAACTGCCCCAAACGTTATTAGCCGCTGTATTCGTTCTACATCAGATTAGAGCCCATAGAATAACTGGAAGTTGCCTAGGGAAGAAACGAGCTCAAGAGTTGAAACAGTATCAAATAGATGTATGAAGAGATGATCAAGAGTTTAGAAACTTTCAAAAAAAATAAATTCGCAACAGTCAAAGGCATTCACAGTCGTCATCTTTATACTTGGCAGAGGTATCATAAACTGCTGAGATGCAAAAATGCGTTACTATATGCTATCTACTGAACGACCAACCTCAATGACTACCTACAAAGTCAAAACCCTTCAGTAAAAAGTGTTTCGTGAAACTGATGCTGATTTACGATGCGGAGATCATACTGCATTCATACAAAGTAATAAGCCTGACTCCATAACTTTATGTGATAATGGACTACACACAGGATTTAATCATAGAACATGTGAACAAGCCTCACTTTCCAAAAACAACATGGAAGTAGTTATGTGGAAAGACAGAAAACAAAAAAGAAATCGAGGTATTGGAAACGCAAATAGAGTTGATTATGAAACAAGCAAAGAATCAGGCTCAGGAACATGGTATGTTAAATAGGACTGGATCCCCAAAATTAACAGAAAGAGAACTGATCTTGATTGGATCGGATTGGCCAAATCAGCCACCTCAGGAGCAGAACCAGATCATATTAAGCAAATATTCTTGAAAATTTCCCAACATGATGCCCTTTTTCTCATGTGGTTGAGGGTGGCCCATAAAGCTCACAGGCGAGTTTCTTCTTCATCTTCTGATCCCTCCACCTTTCTATCCCCTCTTTTTCTTCATGCACCATTTATCTTAAAGTTGCGAGCAGAGCACAATCCAAAAAGAAATATGCATCATTTCCCGGATAAAAATAAAGTTCAATACCAGGATCTATTGGAAGCATACCTTTATGGCCCTCTCAAGGAAAAGGCCTTTTGGAATTAAGTTTGTATATTCCAAAAGTCGTCTCACATTCTCGATATCACTTTCAATGCTGTTTGCAACACCTGGATACTGTATTTTAACAGCAACCTTCAAACCATCCTTCATGACTGCCTGATGAACCTGGAATCTCAGCACGAAAGAAAAAAATACAACTGTAAACAGATTCTAGATGGTAAAGAAAAGTCTATTGGACCAATTCATGGAGTTGTTCATACCAGGAGAAAGATTATATCAGACTCAAGTTATGACTAACCAGCATAAACATACGAAAGCTCCCATACTTCAATTTTTGTAAACTACTTCCTTAAATAGACAACCTCGGCAACATTTGGCCAGGATCTTTACTCAGCAATCGTAAATGGACCCAACCCTCCTTACAGAAGGGTTTAAAATGTTTTTTCAAGTCATAAAAAAATCCTCCTTACAGAAGGGGAGTAAAGGTCTTCAATTATGACTGCATCCTGTCTAGCATCTAGACCCCAGACAGACTAGAAACAAAACAGATTTCTTTTGGTAACCGATAACTTCCAGCTGAGAGCAGATGATACTCAATGACCAGATGGTTTTGGTGTACCAAGGAAAGATCACTAACTTGGCCCATCAGACTCGCCCCTCGTTTTCTTTGCATCTTCAAATCCAGTTTGTTTTACTCAGAGAGCCTATTGAGACTTTCCTTGCAGTATCTGAGGCATGAGCTAAACGAATTTAATCACCCATTAAAGTGAAACCGTCGAGCAGTATGAATCCATTTACAGAACCCCTTCACTTAATTGCAATAAGAGCACGAAGAGAACTAACAGGAAAAGTGGCAATTTTTTCTTTTCCTTTTCAGAAACAGTAAGCTTTATGAATTGATATTCAATCTCCTCAAATTCAGATATATTTTTATGTCTGCTGTTCTTTTGAAAGAGAGAAAATAGTTGGACATTTGCGCATCAAAGCAAGTTTTGCAATGTAATTAATCAAACGAGCTGAGAAATTTGTATAGCTGGAAAGACTAACAAAACAGCATGAGAAATGGAGGAAATAAAAAATGAGCATACCTGGCCAATACTCGCTGCAGCTAGTGGCTCATAATCAAAACTACTCAACTTTGAAGACCACTCGGGTCCCAACTCAGTGCCTAAGACACTGTCAAGCTGGCTTCTAGGCATAACGTCAGCACCTTGACGCACAATATCCAAAGCAGCCAAAATCTACATGACAGATATACATTAAAAATATATAAGGTCACCCTTCAGATGGACAGGTCGTCCATGACAATGACACTATAGCTCCAACATCTACATAGCTTTGGTTTCATGTCAATATTCATGCCATGTTCTACATTGTATGGAATTGACTCAACAAGCGAACAGACCATTGACAACCTCATTAATCATTCTATGGGATAATTTAAAAAATAGTGAATTTTGGGTGACAACAAGAACTATCTAGTGACATTTCATTCAACAATTAAAATGGAATTGTAGGCAATTTTATACGGAAAGTAAGATGAGTCCTCCATCTATGTAAGGATCATATAACATGTACCATATGAACTCCGCTCTGGACCCTGAAAACTCTGGAAGGCCAGGAGAGGAGATACGATTAGAGACACAATCTCCGCCTTGGAACATGTTGATTGCGGCCAATACTGAAGCAATTGAAAATTCCCGCGGGAAAAAAGTTCAAGCTGGCTCAAACCTGTGGTACTAAATTATGTGCTTCCGATTTAAATACATCATGGGTTTTGAATCCTTTCGCTTATCGATGTGGAAGGAATCTTATTTCAATGGTCTAAACGAGTATGTTTTCTTTCGGGTAAGCCCAAAACGCACCAGACTGTCGAACAAGCTTTTACAATAGGAGAGAGTGTGCAGCATTTCCCTGTGATTTGGTATTTCCTTGTTTTTGCAAATCCAGAAGTATGCTGTTTCAAGATTCATGTCTTCACATGGATACCAATCAAAAACCAATTAGCATGCTAACCCAAAGAAGCTAATATTTGAATACAGTTTCATCCCTCTGATCAAAATATTCACCCCGTAATGAAACATGGCGCAATAAAAAGTAAGATGGTAGCCCTGTGATCTGAAACCCAGTCGGAACTTCCAAACTTTAGACAATTCTCTATCCAACTACCAAGAGGAATTGGGCTCCTACAGTTGAGGGTTGATTCCGACCCGAGTCATGATCATGATGCTCGCTATAGCATTTGGGAATCATCCAATCAGACAATTAGCAAATAGAATGCTGCCTTTTTGGCCAAACATGATATATCTCAGACCAAGCTAGAGATTAAACAAATGGACGTATTTTAATGTGAACATAAATAATATCACGATGACTTATTATCTATCAGTTCACATCCTGACTATTATGTATGACATCTTTTACTTAACTATGAGGTGTATTAGATATTGGTTATCATAGATACTAAAACCAGCGTAGGAAAAAGGCTGTGCATATTATGAAATATTCTCCTGGTCATATCAGCCACAAAGCCCGGAAACAATATGACTAGTCACGCTCTTCCATCAGGTTCTGGATTTGTAAGTCAACTGTTATAAACTGAGCTACTTTTGTGGAACCCTAAAATAAATGTACACACAAGAAAAATATATATTAAATTAAATGTAAAAAAAATACAGAAAAAAAGAAGATTGTAGTACCGGTGCAGGTACGAGGGACTCATCTTGGATGCTCAGCATCTGTCCCAGTTTTAATGCAGCACCACGCATCCTGCAAAGCGCAAGTGCCAAACGCTCTGCATTCTGCTCTGACAAGAATGGTGAGACCACCGATTGCTTCTCGTTAGACTGGGGCGCTCCAAATATGAGCCTCTTTGCAGATTCTTGAAGCGTACCCCAAGCAAGACCAGCTCCCAGCCCGGCAAACCTATCACAGTATAGAAGAGGGGAAGATGGCCAATGAAGTCAGTGCGTGGGGACTAAATATCAAACTACACGAGGATACTTATTACAAGCTTCCTGACAACGAAGAACTCCAAAACGCTACAAACAGTTTGACTAAATTTCAAACTGCCCATGAAGCACCCAGATTTTGTTCTCTGAGAAATGGTGGACCTGTGGCGTTTATTTGGCTGCAACCCAGAGATTCAGAGAGTCCCAGACTTTGACCGAGTTCATTCTCTCACAGCATTAATTTTCTATACCCAATACGTGAACCAGAAAAAATAAATAAATAAATAAATACTTCAAACTCCACAGGGGATCTCCTCTATCAAGCCATTATAAGCCGCACTCAATTACCTTCCTCATCCACCAAGCACATTATACACACCGAGACTCGTTTTAAGGTGTTTTCTCCGCTGACAGAAGAATGAAATCCCATCGCTTGAACCCATTTGCGACAGGAAAAACCACCGTCTAGGTGGGTCAGGACAGAAAATTCGAAAGCCCAGAGGCTTAAAGAACCGTTCAAGTGCACAGGACTCCCTTGCTTTCACACTCATTTCCTGATGGATCTCACGGAGGAACAGATGAGGCTGCTAAATTCTGTCTCCAGCTTGATTCACAACATGAAGAAGAAGGTTAAATCCTAGAGCAGAAAGCATTAGAGACCCTTCATGTTACCAGTCGCCCACCCATTCGATTGCGCAGGGCAGAGAAGAAAGTAGGAGCCAGGAGATAAAACGCAAAATACCCAGCGCCATTTTCAGCGATTTTTTATGAATGTGAGAGCGGCCTCGGTAATATATTCAAGATTTTCGATCAGAACGGGTTGCCCACGACGTGAAACACGGTTCATACCCAATGGCTCTTCCGAGAGGGGTGGATGGAACTCTCCTCTCGCGAGGACGACGCTGTCTTCTCGCTTGAACGATTCTCCCATTCCCGGGCTCTCCTTCCTGCTCCGCCACCGTCGGCGCCAATTCATTGCCTCTTTCTTCAGCAACGCTTTGCGCAACATCCAACACCGCGGCGTCCCCTGCGGCATCACAAGTCTCCCCCGCGGGCGTGTCCACCCCGGTGGCTCCCGCCGGCGGCGAAGCCGACTCCGCTGCCACGGAGACGGATCCAGACGACGCGCCCGCCGGCGGCCCCGAGGAGAAGTGTACGACGGTAGAACGAGGCCCGGGCGCCTCGTACACGCGGACGCGGCCACTGGTGAGCCCCGCGACGTCTGTGGCAGCCACGATGGCCGCCTTCAGGGCCGCCACCACGGCGGACTCGACGCTGCCGGCAGAACGGGCGGCTTCGAAGGCCCGCGAGCTCCTCGCCGCCTCGGCGAGCACGAGGCCCACGCCATCCGCCAGCCTCCGGAGCTCGCGCAGCGGCGCCATGAGTAGGAGTGCAGACGGGAAACGAAGGCCTCAACAGGAGTCGGAGCTCGGTTCCCACCTTCGCATGCTGGTGGGTCTTCCCCTGCGAGGAGGAGCCCCTTCCCGACGAAGAAGGATGAAGGAAAGAAAGAGAACGCGACCCAATTCGTACGTATCACGGAGGGAGGAGGCCGCCTTGGCACGGAGGGATCACCTCTAGCCATGAATGGTGGCACCGCCGACTGACCCATCGTTGAAAACTTGCATCTTGGAAGGAAGGGGGGAGACTTTGACAGCTCAATTGAGTAACATTTTTTCTATTCTTTTAACCTGATAACTATTTTTTTCTACTATATTTGATTTACACAGTTTTATGATGTCAGTGAATCATAAATGATTCATAAAGTAATTCATATGAATAATATTTGAAAATAAAAAGAAGAATATTAAAATATTTTTCAAACTTTACTGGGTTTTGTTAAAGTGCAGCAAGGCTAAATAACTCTGAGTTCATTGTTTCTAGTTTGTTTTTGTTCCTTTTTAGTTTATAATTCTTTTTTATGTGTTTCAAAATATGTTTTGATTTTGTTTCATAGTCTTTTTTTTTTCAAACTTTATTTACTTATTCATTTTTAGGCTTATAAAATTCCCTAATTTTGATCCCAAAACATATATTGAAGTATTATGAGGGTTTTTTTTCAAATGTACTCTTATTAATTAAAAAAAAATCCTTTAAATCTTGTGGATTAAAAGTCACCATCTAATAAGTTCATGGGACAAAGTAGGTAATTATGTGGATCCAAAACTTAATTTCTTCATCAAGATTGGCCCTTTTTGGATCCAAAACATTTATGTGCATTAGTAAGTTGTGTAAATAGATATTAAGTTCTTGATAAAATTATTACAAAGAATCAAGTTCATTAAAAAAAAAAAACAAGATAACTCAATGAGTGGAGATGACTGCAACTCTCTCTCTCTCTCTCTCTCTCTCTCTCTCTCTCTCTCTCTCTCAGCTGGGATATCTTATATGCCAGCATGCTCTCTAGTGGGCTGGGCAACCAAAAAACCAGTATCTTTATCCCAGAAATGTGGAGAAGAAATGAGGGGAGAGAGAAGACTGTAACTCTTTAGGGTCTCAAAATCCCTAGAAATTCGGTATTTACTCAACTTTTAGATTTCTTCAAGCCTTACATTCTTTTTACTGGGTAACAAGAAAAAACAATGGTTTTATACCTAAAATGTGGAGAAAAGAAGGGGCTCTCTCTCTCTCTCTCTCTCTCTCTCTCTCTCTCTCTCTCTCTCACACACACACACACACACACACAGCTGGGATATCTTGTATGCCCGCATGCTCTCCAGTGGGCTGGGTAACCAAAAAAAAAGTCTTTCTCCCAGAAATGTGGAGAAGAAATGGGGAGGGGAAGGGCGGGGGGAGCACTGCAACTCTTCAGGGTCTCAACATCCCTGTCTCTCTATCATCTCCAGGTTATATATCACACGAGGGTTTTCAGGGTTCCCCAACAAGAGATGATCGTAGGTAGGGAGGAGGGAGAGGAGCAATTCAGCATGTTTAGGTCTGGACATTGGCCTTGTTGCCCGCCAGGATGATGGAGATCTCGAGGCCGCGACTGAAGGCCTGGTTGAAGAGCAGCCTTGACTGGAACGTAGAGACGAAGGGGAACCAGGAGAGGAAGGCCAGCGGCGCAAATATCAGCACCCCCATCCCTGCATCATACAACCGCGCTATCTCCCTCACCGACGACCACAGCCCCAGCCGCCTCACCACCTTCCTCCATGTTATCGCCAGCTGCCACACCACACCATACCACGCATTACGATTAAAGAGACTTTGACTATTTAAGTGGGCCGTTCCGGTGAAGACTCGTTGACGTTGACTTACGGATAGGAGGGCCCAGCCGGTGGCGATGAAGGCCAGCATGCTTGCGAACAGATCAGGGATGGAGAGCCTTGTCAGCGCCACGACCAGGACCAGCGCCACGATAAGCCCGATGGTGATCACCCCCTGGATGAACCGCAGTATCAGCTGGTAATTGGCCGATTTCCTCGGGCTGAAGGTGAAGACCTGCATGGTGCGTAGAGAGAGAGAGCCCATAAATATAACGTAGAAGACTGAGAGGCACACAGCAGAGGGAGAGGAAGAACGAACCTTGAAGATCAAAACCGCACAGAAAAGAGCGACCCACGAGAACCCATACAACTGGCAACAGATAGAGAAAGAGAGAGAGAGAGAGAGAGAGTCATATATCAGTATGAACTAGTGAGAGAGATGTATATAGGCAATGAACCCATGGAACCAATGAAAGGCGCGAGCTGTTACCGCAAGAGAGGTGCTACTTCCAGTAAGGTTGAGCTTATACACGATCCCATACTGAAATATGAAAAATCTCAAACTCAAGATCGTCTCCAGTATGCGCCCTCTCAGTGTCTGGATATGCATCTGCAAAGCACAATATCCACCGCAAAAAAGTCTCCCAAGTGAGTTCCACGGGTGGTTATCTAACGAGCTCATCGAGGTTCATACCCGAAAAAAAAAAAAAAAAAAAAACAGGACAAGATGTCGCATCTAATTAGGGGGAAATGATTCGACCGAACACACATCTTGGCGGCCACCATGGTTCTTTGCATTAATAAAAAAAAAAAAAAAAAAAAAATGGGCCCACACAGACAGCCCAGTTCGTCCGATCGAAGAGGCGTTGCATCTGGCCAACAGCAGATCTATTACTGTCGCAGACCGGTGTTTGAGTTGCCAAAACGTTTTCCAAGATTCAAGCAGGCAGTCTAAGCGATTGTGCCAAAGATACCACCACTTAGCCATCTAATGATGAATTAGATGAGTGAATTGACTAAGATAGATACCTTATTCGGTAAAGACTAATGAGAATTCACTCAATAAATACTGCAAGAACAAGATCCAAACAAGCACGGTTCAACAGTGTGGCTCTAAGCTTAAGATAGATAGCATCCCATCTGATCTAGTAAGTTCATGTTGATATGATGACTGGATATGTGTTACAAAGCAATTCAGAGGAGATCAAACTGAAGGCATCATCCGCCAAGAAATACGGAATTTAGTAGGCAACGATATCTATGAAGAAATGGTTGAATGAATGATTCACCTGTTCTTCATCCCACCACGATTCCCAGCTGTTTTCACCCTTTACTCCAACACCACCTTTATATAGAAGCCAAGATGCCCAGTCATCATAGTCCTCAACAGTCCTGTCAATTCAAGATTATAATATTTTGTGTCACAAAATATAAGAAAATGCGTTGGAGAAATAAATCCCGCACCATAACAGCACCTCCTCTCTCGGACCACTAATCACATTACACAGGTAATGAACCTGTAGCCAGTGGCAAGATGCAAATTCCAGAAGAAAAAAAAAAAAGAAAAAAAAGGTAATATCAACCATGCCAACAACGAGGGACGAGTATTAGAGCAGAATCATGATGTAGATGAATTTTCCATCTCTAGGCTTTGGGTTTTAACTCCAAGCCTAGAGATCAACTCAACATGGAAAAGAAGTAGATGAATCATGATTTCAAGACGTCAAAATTCTTACTTCTGCCACTCAAAGCCAGAAGGGTTGAAGATGTATGGGGCAAATAGCCATGATATGACAAGGAACCAGCTGCTGATAGTGATCAGTATAAAAGATGTTGCACCTCCAGAAGTGTAACCGTACGCAATGTAAACAATCAGTAGAAGCGCGACTTCAAACCTGCATCCATTTAAATAAAAGAAAATGCTAACCCAAAAGAAGAGGCAATAAATTATTTGATGTGTAGAACAATACTCACGCCTTGACAAAATGACTTCGTGAATACAGCCTGTAATTTTCAGCGAATTTTATATGGCGGACGACAAAGCCTCGACCAGTTGCCTTGTACTGTAAGTCAATGCGTCCACTTTCCAGATCAATAAATAAATAAATAATTATTATTATTAAATTTCACCAGAGCAGAAAACTAAATAGGCATACCTTTGCACCACCATGAAGAATAGTCCTCCCAAAGTAGTGCGTCCTGGTTCCAAGGGAAAATGTGAAAAAAACCGCACACAGTTGGAGTTGCATGGTAACAAAGCTGAATACGGCCTGCATTAGGAGTACCATAAGTCAGAAAACGGCAAAAACCACTCGTGCACAAAATACATAAGCATGCCATACATTCCAATGGAGCTAAAGCCAAACGCAAAAGTGGCATGGCCACGAATTCTATCCAAAAACTATAGATCTCAAAAAAGGGAATGTACCAAATTAGGGTTAATGAAAATAAAAAGGACATCCGCAGTATTATAGGGTCGACATGATTCTACTGGTGGCAAGGACATTAAATAAAATAAAATAAAACACAGGTTGAATTCGCCGAGACCTTTATCAACCCTTTTTCCAATATGAAACCCATTATCATTGGAACAGCAGTAAACACACCAATCTGAACTAAGAACTGAGCATTCAATGCAGCATTCAGTGCAGTGTTTCCCAACATTCTTGCTTGTCGTGAAATAGAAGAATCAAGTCCTGAAAACGCCTGAAAATTTTAAACACAGTCAAAAAAACCAGAAAATATTCAAATGAAAACCACATAAATAGCAGCGGAAAATCATCAATGTCATTGCATGCAACATAACGATCAACAACTCCCTCTGCATTGGGAAAGTTTGTAAGCATGAACTCACCAAGTACACTCTTCCGTACAAGAAAGCATACACTGTGAGGACAGTCATCTGCAGCAGGACACAAATTTTATGATGTTTCCTTGATGATTCTATACGAAATTAAAAATAATAATCTATGCATCATCTACTTCTACGCGAAGAAGAAACGTACCATTGTGCAAACATAGAAGCCAACAGTGGTGAAATAGAACGATAACATCCTAAAAAAGTCAAAAAGCTGTCCAAGTCTGTACACATCTCTGCTTAACACTTGCTCTCCGTTGCCACCAGCCACTTTCCCTTCAAACAATGCGATTTGATTCAAACCCACATCTCTTCCTTTCCCAACCTGTCAACGGTAAAATATTATATATAATGCAGAAAGCCTCAGATGAATTTCAGAAGTATCTAAAAATGAGAAGCACGACACATACTTGAATGTACTCATGATGTGTTATGTTGCCTTGCCGCAATGTTGAATTGAATCCTGCAAGATAAATTAATACAATATTCATTAAGATATATTCCATCTTTACACATTTCGACTCTGTGCCAAATTCATACAAAAAAAGAGGTTTGGTCGAAATTTTGGAGGGAGCGATTAATTATGTCAAGTTAATGATTGAATTCCTCATTATTTCATGCCCCTTCGCAGGAACTATTAACTATGATAGATTTGATGTCCAATTTACCAGGGATAAGTAAAATCAACGATGATCTTCCGTTATTTTTGGTTTGATCTGCAGAATTCCTAAAAATTAAACAAAACGCTCACACCCTTTGGAGACACTCCAAAGTTCATTTTCAATCTACTTCTGCAGCGAAGTGAATGCTAAGGATTTAGCTGGAAATACTCTGCCACAAAAATTGATGAAAATAGTTCACGTATCGTGATCAAAAGTGTAAATCAATGATTCTGTTCTTAAGGAACACTGGCTCAAAAATAGTTTTCTTTTCTTTACTTTACTTTTAAGTGTAAACACAAAGGGGAGTCTGCTTTTTCTTTTCTTTTCTTTTCTTTTCTTTTCTTACTAGCAAAGAAGAGCCCATATGTAAACCTTTCCTCTCAAGTAGTCACTACCCTACCTCCGCATCACAGAAACAACCATACAGGGGTGGCAGTCTAGGCAATATATAACAGGCTTCATCTTCTTTGCCAAGAAGATCACCTTGTTATCCACACTTTTATCTACTTTTGCCTTCATATGGACGAAGAACGGAATTTCCAGGTAACTGTTCTCTTTCCCAAACAAAAGCAGGAAAATATTCATATAACTGACCATGAAATTCTTGGATCACAGATATTGCACACTCAACAACAGGATATAGGCTCCCCCAAGAATTTTTGGCATTTACAGAATAAAAATAAGGCAGAAAAGTGACAAATGAATGAATTGAATCAACGTCTCAGATGTTTTTAATAAATAAAACACAATCCTGAAATGGAAATTTCAGATACAGAAAGTGTAGGACTAAGGAAGAAACAGGCAGTGATATAGTTGGTCTCCACAGTCTGGGAAGTTTCCATGAGAGTGCGATGGAACCTGTTTAGACACGTTTTAATATCATAAAATCATACATTATTACTGAGAAAGTCATATAGATGAAGATCCCACAGCGAATATTTAGATCTTAATATGACGCCTCCTTAATCAATGTATCATAATTTACTTTAGGATGCGCATTTTCTCTCTAGCCGATCAGTTTACCGATACCTAACTGCTGATTCATCCCATTGGCGTAGAAAGCCGTCTCATTTGCCCTTTATGATGAGATTGGAGACATTTAAATAGGCACAACAATCATAGCCATATCTTCTAGAATATATTCTAATGATAACACAGCTGCGTGTGAAATGGGCAAAACCTGAAGTATTAATGTCCTTCCTTTTATTAATGTTGTGCATAATCATTCAAAAAAAAAAAAGACAATGATCTCAGTGCCTTAAGGTGATGACAACGCATCTCTATGACAACCTTGAGCATGACAAGATTCTCCAAAGAGTCAAAAACGTTGTACAAAAAAATGATGAGTAATCTGGGCGTAATGTTTCTGGTGATCAGTCAAATAAGAAAATGGGAGAATGAGGCTCCCGGTCTTAAGGCAAGAGCAAGGTTTATTCAGCCACGACGTCTCATGTGCATACAAGAACTACATGCAAAGATGATTTTAAGAAAAACCTTGGTCCAGAACAATACACAGAGGAGAGACAAGACAGAAAAGGGATGACGGCAGATATATTAAAGAAAATGATAGGGCACTGAGTGAAGAGACAAATAATTCAATTAACAGCACTTTGTTAGTTGGTCGATCGTTAAAGTGGATTCAAGTAGGTTGAAAGTTCAGGAACAAACTAACTACAGCTTAAGTAAAAGCAAGATGTAGACGAATTGAATGGGTGCCTTATTTCTGCTACGCTTCATGATTTCCTGACCCTCAATCTGGTAAAGCATACGAGAGAGACTAAATACTCTCTACCTCGGGAAACTGAGAATATCAGCGCAGGAAAGAGAAAATATAGATCAAAGACCTTTTGTAGAGGTGTTTAATTCACCCTTTGAGGCTCTTCCATCGAGCCCCTCCTATCAAGATGCCCAGGACTTTTTTGGTCAGAAATCCCAAGCGTAGTAAAGAGAGGATATAGGACAAATGGCAAAACACATTTTTCCTTAATGTTAGGAGATATTATGTCATGAACAAGTTCCCACTCATCACTTCAAGGTTGGATAGTATGTGACTAATCTTATAGATGGCTTCTATTACTCAGAGTCATGAACATAGTTGTCATTCATCACTTCAACGTGGGATTTTCACAAGCCTTCATCATTCAGCACATTCTGCAAAACTGATTTTCATCCAACTCTTATTCTATGCTTCTATGTTTTTAGATTTCAAGATGAATCGGATTGCTGCCTCTCAAAAACAAAAAGTATCCGCCGGTGCTAATGTCGTGTACCATGCTACATAAGTAGGAATAAATATGTAGTTGGAATAGAACATAAAATACTGCTCAGCATCAAAATGAAAGATAAATTGGAGAACCTGAGAGAGACAGATTTCGTTGGGGCATAGATAAGTGGATAGTCTGCTAAAATTGCAGTAGCATATAAATGGATGATTCTCCCATCTATCATGTCCATATGTGACAGATGTCAGTATTTCGATGTTGTGATTTACATCCATTTATTGCTGATGAACGGGTTATTTTACTCAAAACGTTTTTTTTTATGTCGGATGCAAGATTGGATCAATCAGAGTTCATCAGTACTCCTTTAGATGACTTATTCCAATTAAAATTAGTCAATCAAGTACTGATCATTTCAAACAACTTCTCTTGTGAATCCTGCAATGCCTTGACACAAGTACTAATTCTATTCGCTTACAGCTCCCATATCAAATATAAGAGCTAATAAAAAAAAAACTCTCCGATAGAGAGAATATCATAAAGACCTACGTAATGGAAAAAGGAAATATGACAGTAACTGTGATCAAATAGAATTTACGGGAGTCACTAGATCTGATGACGATACCTGCGTATATATCTTCACTAATATTGATTACACGTGATGCTTTGCTTACACCACCTCTTGATAGGTGAAATATTCGGTCGAAAACATCTGGGTGCCCATAGTGCATACGAACCCTTTGAAAATAAAAAATCTTAGTTCATTAAAGGTATAAATTGTCACAAGTCGGAATAGTTAATAGAATGAATTAATGAATGCAACATATGAACAAAGGATCAGATAAGCAATATGGAGAAATATTAGCAAACTTAGAGTGCTAAGCACCAAGAAAAGAACATACCACCCCCGTAATTACTAAATGAACAACCATGACATAAAGCCCGACGGAAATCTATTCAGCAGAGTTCTAAACTGAAGAGGGTTTATCAATTCAAGCGTCATCCAAAAGAATCAACAATATAGATCCCGACGTTTCCTTTCTTGGTTTCTATCATTCATCTCCTTCTCTAAGGTAGATAATAGTGCCCCATAGGAACCTGAAGGAACGAGAGAATTTCTCAATAGAGAATATGCACATAGGTTTGAAATCATTTTCTTCAATTAATCATGTCTAATATCTTCTAATCCAGCAACAAAAAGTTGACTATCTGGACCAATTTTGCAATGTTTTTGCAAGTGATAAGGAGAGATACTCTCAAAGAACTGCATTTTTTTTGTTCCCATGAAGAAAGCATCATTATAAGCAGCCTAGACAGACAAAATGTGTTGTGACCTATCAAGCATGAGTTTTGACCCGCAAATAAAAGCAGCCAATTGCATTTAACTGAACTCAGGGGCTGATGGATCAGCCATCGCTCTGGTTCGTCAAAACCCCGGTGTAGCAATTAGGACTTCCTCCAAATCCTAACCGCACAGAGATCGATGGGATAAGGCCCGCTGGCAACAATGATATTGAAAATCATTGAGATAACACTCGATCTGTCCCTACTAAGTTATACGATTACTAATTTTCCACATTCCTACGCCCATGTTGCAATACGACAAAAGAAATTAATCCACTCCATTCCATCAATCCTCCGGGCAAGCAGGCACAGATTAGGTAAATCTCAACTCTTCTTCACACCAGTCCTGGAATGTAGGCCCACCAATACTTCGCATTCAATCCAGTACTTGATGCGTAAAATCATTCTAACAGCATTACAAGAGCCGTGTTCTGACACTAATCGCGCTCCCACCCCGTGTACATTCATACATACACAAAACATACACGCACGGTCAGACATCTTTCTGTTTCCTAAATGGGATAAATGAAAGAAAAACGCATGACAATCAAATAGCTTTCAAAAAATTAAATACTCACTTGAGGGGATCTGCTAATACTCGTTGGCCCAAGGTGACAAAGCTAGTCTCCTGATTTGACATAAACCATGCTAATGATGACACACTGAAATAAATGAAGGAAGAGAGAACATCACATAGAGCTTGAAATATAACTTGCGGTCAGATCAACTTAAAACCCAGGGATTAAACCTTCCAGTAAAGACGTGTTCTCGAACACCAAGGATAGTTGCAGGACGAAGACCATGATCTTGTCGAAATTCCTCAAGAAGATTTCTCATTTTCATTGCCTCCTCAAGATAGTTATCCTGCTCAATAAGGATAGAGAAAGAATGCCACAAGCGTAACGATCGATTCTTTAATTCAGAAAATAGCGATTTTCATCATTATTAGAGTATAGGAATGGCAATCCGCATCCATCCACGAAGACAAATTTTTACCCAACTGATAGACTTTATCCCCCCTTCATGGAATAAATTGTAGAGTGTAGGCTCAAACACTTAATTTTAGTAATGATGAGACGTATATAACCACGCTTGACGAATTATTACGAAGAGAGATACGCTCGAAGATTTTGTTCTTTGTATCTTTGAGAAGTTTCGTTCGCAGTTTGTGTAATTCATTTCTCCTCTTTATCCAAGAGAGGCCAGGATCTGGATTCTAATATACTTTCTCATGAATTGATTTTGTACTCTAGAATACTTCCTCTTTCCCTTTTGGCCCTTCAGTTGATCACATTCAACCTGTTACTGTCATCTTGCAGCTAATTTGCTTCTCTCACAGAAGTTTTCCATCATTCTAGTTAGAATATGATGGCCATGAAGTGCACCAGAAGTCCCTTCTTCTATCCGACAAGATCTAGTCTGGAAACCATATTTATCTTTATCTTTCCCTCATTCCATTCATAAACCCGTTTGTGAGAAAGACCCTTCAGTTCATCACATAATTTCGAAGACAACTGATTACAGGCTGGAGTAAAGACCTAGCAAAGTGATCCCATAAATTCTCCCCCAAGTCCGACCCATTTGTCCCAAGAAATTCAGACAAAACAACCTGACACCTTACATAAATAAACACCAAGGATAGATAAGTATGATGAGCAGCATAGCCTAGTTCACTGAGGCGAAAAATTCACTTTAAAAAAAGTCAAGAGATGCAACCATATTACATTTCACAGCCAAAAATAACAATAATTAAAAAATTTATAATAAAATTTCAAACAACTTATCAAAATTAGGAAGTTAGGAGCAATGACCTGATTCATGTCAATAGTTTGAATGGCATCACCACGAGTAAAAATTATAGCATGATTTTGATTTTCAGGCTTCCCTTCTCCTAGTTTGGGATCACCAGGCAGCTTGATGGAATATACTTCCTACCACAAGAAAAGCTACTATTATTATAAAGACACAGTGAAACACCAACGTTAGTATCTGAAAAAATAAATGGTTTCTAAAAAAATCTTCAAGAGTCTTCAACACCAATAAAAAATGAAATTATTTTATGAAGCTGTAAATTTTCAGCACTCATCTTTTCTTAAGTAAATATATAAGAGATTTATTCCGACTGATGCATATTTTGTTCACCACAAGTGAATTTTGATTTCTCTATCATGCTTGATGAACCTGCTGAAGGAGCATGGAACCAGTGCAAGCAAATACCCAAACAAATAAGGCAATGTAATAAAAAGAAAACCCGTGTACCAGGCTTCAAGAAACAGAGCACATGAGACAGCAAGTCAGCGAAATTTACCATAATACTGTGATCTAAATGACACAAACATTGTTACTAAGAGTAAGCATCCTTGTTTGCCACACAGAAACTATTATCAAGAAGAAAGGTCTACATTTTTCAGCTTTCATGAAGCCAAGGAACATTCCAAATTTTTGCAGGAGCTCAGATGGATCTCCATAATTACTCATCCCTTTCTCTGGCCTACCCTGTACACAAATGTTCATTTCACCGTTTCACAAGTCTTCCCACATGTCTGTTCCTCTAATTTTCACGAGTTATACGAAAAAAGAGAAGTCATGAGAGAACGACCATGATCATTATGTAAAGAGTACCTCTATTTTGTGAGGAATACGAACCAGCATATACAGTCTAATTTGCATTATTAACTTGGCAGAAGCCTTTTTCCATGAACATATACTCGAAACATTATGGACAGAAAATGCCGGGAATTAGCAGCTTCTCAGGAAAAAACTGAAGGCCGTTATGCAACCCCCTTTCACTGTAGATACAAAAATATACAACAACATGCAGACGTTTACCCTAAATCAAAAATGAAATGATACATAGAATCATGATCTAGATACTTATGTCATGAGAGTGCTTGTGAATGTACTCTATTTTCATTTATCAACAATTTTTTCGTTTCTTTTGTAGTAAAGAAGAAGCGGCAATCGCTTGAAAAATATAATAGAAAATTGAAAACCAAAAAAACAACCGAAGAAAATCAATGGAGCGCATCCAAAGTAAAGAATAAAGAACCATCTAGCACAACAAAGGGAATTCACCTGATCCTTTCCGTTTACATCAGCTTTCACGAGCTTTGAATAGAATTCCATAATCTTACCATCAGGTGAATCCCTTACTTCAGAGTGTATAAAGGCAACGCGGAGAGCCTCATTTCTGATAACAAAACAAAGAAAAAACATATAATTAATATGCACGGGACGCATATAGCAAACATGTAGAACAGATGAGCATTCTTGAATTATCTTCGAAAAATGTGCCCTAAATCCATTTTCAGGATTGAAAGAATTGACTTTGGCAGCCCAACAGGAACGGTAACGCTTCAATAAGCTACTAACTAAATGCTGAGCATAATAATTCATGAAGAATATCAATAACCTCTGCATCAGAAGAGAAATATCAGCCGCCTCTGGAGCCTTTTTCTCTTTCTGTTGCCCATAAATTTGGCATGAGACAACATATGTGAATTTCAGATCTGCCTGTGCACGACATTCAAGGGACTGCTCATATCCCTCTATATTAATGTAGTCAGATCCTGAATAGCCATCTTCAATCCCTGCACGAACACTTCAAGCCTGAACACGATAGTCCTGTTACAATGCTAAGCCTAGCACAAGAAGAAGGGAAGATCAAATAATAAACCTCCTACAGATCTCTTTTCCAAGTAACTTTGAAGAATCAAGGCTCTTCGGTAGTACATCATACCACGCACTGCAGTCAAAAAGCAATAATATCAAAAAAATATATATATGAAAAGACTTGATGATAGTCACATCAAACAAAATGGTTTACGACTATTTGATCCACTTTACTGGTCATAGTCATGATTCAAGTTCACTCGGTAGAAGAATCTGTAATCATTTATAATTTTTTTACCTGTTCTTGCAAGGGTTTGCCCACGGTAAGATACCCAAAACCGCAACTCTAAGCTGTCCCCTAAGCTTGTCTGAAGAGACTCCGCGCTTGATGCATCACGACCAGTTCTTTCCAAAAAGTTTTCCCATTCATCTGAGGGGAATCCAACTCACAATGTAAAGAAAACCTTAAAAAGGAAACATCGTTCTGCAGACCACACAGCAGACTGAATTCATAATAAATGTATCATCCACTAGCCACATGACTTCCATTCTTCAGACGGTGCTTATTTTTGTAAAATGTATGTACAATGTGGTTTAATGGCTGCACAGGGTTCATGATAGATTTGAAAACCAGATTGGACAACTCCAGTCAATTAATTGGACATCAAAGGGGAATGAGGGATTCGATAGAAAAATAGGTGCAAATATAATTTGTAAAATATAAACAATTACTTATGTAGAAAAACTAAGTAAAAATAATATTTGTCACTCCAACCTCAACCTTCTTTTTGGGCAGAAAGTGCAAGTGCTTTGCCATGAAAACAGCAGAACTGGACAACAACTGAGGCACGCGACAGTGGAAGGAAGCCAGTGGCCGTAAGTGGTAATTGAGTTAGTCTTTAAATTCCATATATATATATATATATATATATATATGTTCCACAGAGACTAGAAAATTTCGATTGGACCACATTAAGTTTTCTCCGGTAGGTATTGGCACCCATGATATCTTCTTGAAGATTAACAATTACACTATTTCGAACAATTCCACTATCAATAATTAAACCCTATAAAGTATTGGCTTGTATGTATGTAGCGTGATCCAGTTTGATCACAATAATCCCCTTGCACTAGTAAATTGGAATGCATTCGCTTACAAGGATACCTATTTGAGTGCTACCAAGAATCTTGCAATTCCCAAAGGTGTTTATCACTAAGCGAACTTACCTGAAAAATCAGAAGAAGGCCCTGTATTGACCTCAAATGAATGACCAGAAAAATTGCACGAGAATGATGGCAAATCCATGTGACTCACAGAAGTCAAATAGAGTTTAGGATCTGTAAGTTTCATATAGAGAAGAAATAGCTGAATTGGCTGACGTATGCTCCATAACACAAGATGCAACCTAAACTACATTTCCCAGTATGGTCAACTCGTGCCAAAATCGCATGGCGCAAGTCACATCGCTCAAAAAATCGCACCCACTTCAGCCCAGAATTTAGGACCCTTACGAGTTCCTATTATATGCACATATCTCACCTAATCTTCAAGGATACAGAGTCACCAACCACCATTAAAATGCATAGCGTTTTGACTTTTCAGCGCTATTACAAAGCAAAATTTCCCTACACATGTTCCATTCTGAAGGGCTTCCCAACATTTCACTTGACATGAAAAGGGGAAAATAAATTTTTTTTTATAAAATTTTAGCCAAAAAAATGTCTAGTAAGTCTCAAGGAGTATTTTCCGAAATATTCTTTATTTAAATACAATTTAGCACATTCTCGTGTTTAAACCTCAATCAAATCGACCAACTAACAAGATTCGCGTGCACTAAACTTTCCCAGGTTAACCCAGATATTTGTAATTATTCGTCTAAAATAACTTTAACACCCAGTTCTTTTTTCAGCAAAGCCAGACCACACGACATCATTCAGCTTTTAGGAACAAATATATACCATCCCTTTCTCAACTATTGTTCATCATATAACGGCATTCTGTCCCAGAATGCCGTTCCTTTCTGAACTTGTCATCTTGAAAGCAGTGACTTTACACAAATTAACTCAGAGTTCATTATTCTAATGGCAGGCAGATCAGATCAGAGCAGCCAATTGAACCTAAAGAACAGTCAGTTAGTTTAAGTCAAACGAACCAAAAGATCAGTCCATTAGCTGTATCAAAATAACTGCACAGAAATAAATACAATGGCACAATACTTATGATGCTGATGAATACGTATCACATCAAAGGAAGTTGTGAGGGTGAAAAGAGAAGAATGAAGCATAAAAAAGAATCATAAAGAAGACGCTACCAAAGCAAAAAGGTGCATGCTGCCAGAAAATTGCCAGGGGAAAAATCCCCAAGGAAAAATAAAATAACAATCATCAATACCAGGGAAAATTTTCTGAAGATAGAAAAGAATTGAGATTCCATCCTCATTTTCAACCCGTAGCTCACTGGAACTGTACAATACAGTCTCACTGTAGTAAGGAGTAAATACGCTGCAAAGGAAAAGTATATCAAAGATGTGTCATAAAAAAGATAAACATATCCAAAAAGAACACAGATTAACCTGAAAGGGATCATTTCAGCAACTGGCTTTGCAGAAGGCATATTCATAAATAGAGAATTGCTGAAGAACTCCAATCTTCTTCTTGCTTCTAAATTTTTAGGGATATTGGCAGCAGATTCTTTTACAGTCAAAAGCAAGTGCAAGCGTTTCACCAATTCCTTCTGCAATTAAATCAAGCTAAAATTTTATGGCCAACTCATGATTTAAAGAACACACATTTTTAGAAAGGGTTAGAAGACACACAATTTCTGGATCCTTCGGCCACTCTATCCTTGAAAAAAGTCGGCCTTCATTTCTTGCTTTCGCTAAAATGTTCCATGAATCGAATTGCTCCCTTTCACCCAACAAAAAAAAGAAAAGAAAAGGATCTATTTATACGAGAAAAGAGCACCATATGGCAAGCAAGAGACCACTTGATCGGTCATAACTTAATCAGAAAGAAAATAAGAATTGACCTCAAGTTGGCTGTTAGCAGTTCATGAGTAATAACATCGTACAGATCAAACACTGCCTTTGGTACACCTCTAGCAAGATCAGGAGATTCATTTCTGACCTGCAGACCGAATTAATTTGTTTCATGATTAAATTAACACTAAAACATATTATAAAACAACATGGAAAAAATAGAAGTTAGGCAGCCAAGAAACTTGATCAATTAAACTAGGTCCAGAAACAAATCAGCACGCCAACGACACGAACAGACGGAATAATACGGCAGCAAATTTACCCCAATAAAATAAAAAAATCAGAATTAGAATGGCCCGTGACATCATAATATATATCCATGAGTGAAGAAAACTGGAGAGATATGGTCTAAAAGGCGGAAAAAATAACCACATTTACTATAGGAAATGAGTGCTGTTATGAAGTATAAGACAACATGTGCGAGGAAATAAATTAAAAAAAATCAACCCTCAGAATGAATGAAAAATGATGTACATTCCCTGATCCAATCATAGATAAAGGGAATTTTCACCAATATGACCCATATTTAAATCAACCCTCCCATGTAACCAACCATTGAGGATAACTTTCCAAGTAAATGCTGTAATGGGATGATAAATCCGAGATAAGGCCAGTTCAAACTAGACTTTGTCATTAGTTACGGGCCCTTTGTTGTGGCTAAAGTCAGCAAAAAAAGTTCACCCTGATAATATGGAGCCACCATTATCCCAAATACCAGTATCAATATTGTCACTCTATTTTGGTTTGCTGAAAACAAGCACCTATGCCAAACATCTCCCCAGCACAGATTTTAAAACACTAGATAATTATCTAACTTAACGTCCCCCCCTTAGGCTACTTCATCCAAAGATCTCTTATTCTTTCACTGCATTTTAGACCATTCATTATCATCGTCAGTACCGAGGTTAATCGAGATAAATGCAAAGTTTATTGAGTTACAAAAATGGGCTCACTGTCAGTTTAAAAATAACTATTATAAGCAACCAAAAAGCTTTGAATTATTTGCGAAAAATTCATGTACCCCATTTGGCTGCTTGCATGAACAATGCATATGTTTTATCTCTCATATTCATGAAAGCAGTCATGGTTTTTTTCTGAGTGTGCAATAATCGAGAGATGACAAGCAAGAGATAATTATAGTCTTCATTCTCATTGTACCAACAAAAACAAGATACCACGAATTGCGTATGCATACAAAGTAGAACAGGGCATGAAAAAAAGAAAATTAAGAATCATCAGGAAATGACCATGTGCGGAAATGAATATCTGAGAAACATCCATATATCGAACTCTACAGGAAAAATCTGATGACAGAAGAAATTTTTTAGGTGCCTTACAATGTTCAAATGAAACAATCTTTCAAGTAAGAAGGCAAAACACATTCTCCACAATTCTACATTTAAAACACATCGAAACGCATAGTGATTTATTTTTCTCAAAATAAAACGCATGAACAGTAACAAGCAAATTTTGGCGAGATTTAAATGGTAAATGAAAATGAATATGCCTGGATATCAATAAAACTACAATATAACCCGATGACTTACAAGAAGACCAGTCAAACCAATAAGCCGTGACAACAATGCCTGTAGTTTTTTAAGGTTCACAGTGACCACCAGTGAACCCTCTGCAATACTGCTATTAAGTTCACGAAAGAGCTTCTCAACCCTACAATAATTCACCTCAAAAATGACTAAACGTTTACTAGAAAGAAAACAACTGATATTCAAAACAGAAACTTGAATAACTACATATGCCTACCAGAGTCTGCCTTCACCGTCAAGTAAAGAGAGTAAAATTCTTTCAACACTATAATAGCACTCCTTAACAGCATATGCCATATATTCATCCTTAGATATTCGATTCCAGAGATCTGCTTGAGTATCCTTGCAGTCAAAAGCCAAGTCCACCGCCAAGAATATCTAGAAAAAATAAAAGGAATGGTTACAGAAACAAGAAGGCATTGTTGTTCCGCGTAAAGTCGAGTGCCAGGAAGACTGACCTTACTACTCAGAAGAAACAAAGGCCACTGAACCAATCTCAAGCTCCCAGAATTGCTGGGCATAGAAAGCAAGTCCATCTCCCTGAATGTTCAATGAGAAAGAAGAAATACAACAAATTGAAGGACAACACCATTAAAGCACCGACGACATACATAATTTTAGACATGTATACCGATTACTGATGTAGTCCTCTTCTCTCAAGCTTTTAATGATCTCATTCCAAAATGGAGCAAACGTAGCAGCATGAATCTTCTTAGACTCCTCATGTCCCTAAAGAGTACGATCACACATCACCAAAACTTTCTTACACCATTGTATAAAATCAGAAGAATCATTACTAATAAATAAATCGAACTTAATGAATAATGACTAAACAAAAGATAGAGAACCTTCAAGAAAGTCAACAATTTAAAGAAACTATGTCAATGTGTTTCTATTAATGCACTCGTGCCAGTAATCTACAGGGATTGCATTTATAGGATAAATTATTGTTGTGACCCACTAAAGCATGCAGATATAAAGAAATCTCAAAGTAATGTCCATGTCGAATCGTGGTTGGGAATAACATAAGGTCACCCAATTCCAATATTGACGTCAATGTATGCAAAATATTACTCGAAATCAGGAGATTCCACTGCCGAAAATTAATACCAAGGATTACCCCGTTAATGAACCCCCCCCCCCCCCCCCAAACGGACTCCCAGCAATAAGTTTTAATGATCACCACCTTATGCGGGGATATTATTCCAACGCAAGTGAATATCACCCCGCTAACAATTCTGTCTCACTACCATCCCTAGGAATTCACAAAAAAGGAAGTTAACTTCCCAGCGGACCCATCACTTGGAGTTGAAATAAACAGGGAAAGATGGAGACCAAAGGTTCCCATAACGTGGGCCTCGTGCAAATTATCAGGACAAAGTTAAGAAAGCCAATAAGGGCCAAAAGAGTCAAATATAGGAAACCAACTTTTACCTGAGGAGCGTGCCTATTCGAAGTCGTCCTAGAAATGAAAAGAAACAAAGTTGTCAGAAATTGATAAAACTTCGGTTAAAGATCACGTTCTGCAAACAACTGACTGAGAGAAGCACCTATTCATCTGAGGACACACGAGATTTTTAGTAAATGCCTCTGGGAAGCTCTCAAAACGTTTGTGGAGCATCTCATTTGACCTAATCTACATTTATCAATCAAGAAAAATCAATCAAAATCCAACTATCGATAAAAGAGAACCTTTTCGCAAGAAATCAGAAACGTGTTCGCAATCTTGAACCTAACCTCCCCGAGACGAGCACGAGCACCCTTAATGCCACCAACAAGCGCAGAGAGGAGTGTATAAAATATGTGGATATCCATGAGGTAGATCTAAAGCAACAATAGAGTGGAACAAATTCAATGATTAATGGATGATGAATTACGGCACAAATATTCCACAACAAACTATGTACACAATGTTCTGAAAACTAAATCAGCTAGGTTCCTCCATAAGAAACTTACAGCAACCACTGGTGCCCACAGACAAGCAAGTGTCAACGCATTCTTATTCCCTGAAACAAACGTCCAAGAGAAAAGTTAAATTAAATTTCTCCAGAAAACTATCACCTAAACATCTGCTTTCTAAATCCATATTTTGACTCGGCAAAGCATATTTTGCCTGAACAAAGTAAGCACATGAGTCATAAGAAAATCAAGCCAACAGCACACGAGATTTATCGAAAAAGCAAACAAAATCATCACTCTTGGTTTTGACTTCAGGACGAGCAAGATTCTTCATCAGATCAACACTTATTCAGTTTTTAAAAGAAACCAAATTATCATCGAACATTACTATCAGATTGTCTAATGCTCTGGCTTTAGCAACATAGGCGACCAAATTAAAACGGTTCTAAGAATCAAGAGTGGGAAAACATCCCATCATAGAAAAATCGAAATCTAGGGCGATCCAACTCCAACAGGTACGGAAGCAGCTTAATAGGTCAACTTCATTTCAATATCTCATGGACATAGACAACTATAAGACCCACAGCAGAAGGCTGCCATTACCGGGCAAAACAAAAAGGCATCTCGATGTATTATTGTCCAATTCCAATGTCATGAGAAAAATTAGGATAAAACTGAACGTACACTAATAGAAATCTACTTCCACCTACTACTCCTAGCAGACCCTTTCCGTCCTCTCTTATTTTCCGCACTTTCGGTTATACCATTCCTTCTTTGGGATCTTATTTACCAAGAATAAATCACGGAACCCCATAAAAAATTATCCCAACAGATTTGAGCGAGATCAACAAACATCCAGCCTAATTTTTCCCTTTTTCGTTAGGTTTTAATGAAGGATCAACTTTTACCCCATCAAACTCAATTACCAATTATAAAGTTCAACACGACTTGACCAATCTCAGTGGGATGACACATTTCCAAAGACAATATCAAAAGAAGTTGCATCAATTATCTCCGCAAAAATGGATACCATCTAATTGAACCAACTGTAAAAAATATACAACAATGAGCCAGTTCCATCCAAAAGGGCACCACCTACGTACACACTCTGGCTAGAAGATGTCATCAGTATCAGCTCTAGACAGCATAATTATTGACCAAATTTCACTTGAAAAGAAAATTTATCATGGATACCATCACGCGACGGTTTGTCACAGATACCTCTGAAGCAACAACAAAAAAAAAATGCAAGGCAAGGCCATTCAAATAATTAAAAACCAATATCCATCTTACAAGGAAAGGTAATGAGAGAATTGCACACTGATCAACAAACAAGGGGAAATGCCATCAATGAACCCTGTTAAAGCATGATGCCTGCAGAATATGTTTCATTTTCCTTGCAGAAAGTGCAAACCCATAAATATAGAAAATTTTCCAATTTTCACAGTTAAGAGTAGTACACCTCAAAATTATACACGTCGTCAACAAAATAAGAAAGAGTGCCACCTATTGGCCCCTTTGATCAACCCCAAATAAAATGAAACGATTTCGTACCTTTTGAGACAAGATCATGCCACGAATATTGTAAATTTCTCAAAGAAAGAATAATGTTCGTTGGCTGTACCAGAGGTTTAATCTGAAAAATCAACAAAAGAACATTCTAAAGCCCAATATTACCGAAATAAATCATTATAAGACAAAGCAGCAGATCTCAGCAAAAATCGATCTAAAAAAGTAGCCTAACAAATTCAGTCACCTGTAGGAAGTACGCGAAGGTAAATTTGCAACCAAGTACTACCAACCAAAAGGCCACATATCTGTATTTATGGAAAAGAACAACCAAACGTATTTAAAAATGAATGTCAAGGATTAAAATCAAAAGATGTTAAGCAATTCAAAAACAATAATTACATGAAAATCCAGCAAAAAAGAAATTTTCAGAAAACAAAAACTATAACATCTGCAGCTAGATATTATTGACATAAGCATAATGAGTATTTTATGAGAGTAATTGTCTTGTTATTTAACCTTCTCCAGGTGTGGATGGCACAAATTTGTAACAACATTGACAAAATGGGAAATAACAAAACGGAAAGATGAGGAAAATTAATGATAACTTCCAAGAACAATTACTTAGAAGTGGTATTATCATTTGAATTTACTTCAGACGAGAGTTGTCCCTGCCAGGATATGCACTAGTCCAATTGAAATTTCAACCTATATTGAGAATGCAAACTTGCGAGGCCTAGAACTTCAGTTGGAGTAACTCAAAGAATTCCATTCCATCCGTAAACCATAATAATTAGGGTATTAATCACCAGTAAAACCACTGAAGTCGTTTTCCACAAGACCTTATTAGTGAATAAGTTTTTGGTCAATTCTACCATACTTGACCCACGACAAAAAAAAGTTGTCATCTCCTCTCACGTGCACTTCAACTACACAGGTCAAGGGCCATTCACACAGCTCTTTATGGCATGTCTCTGACAACTGCAGATGGGCTATATGCTCATGTGATCCTAACAAATCTGTGGGGTACTATACAATGTTTGTTGTCGGGTCGTGATCTTTCCCTGACTTTATTCTGACTCTAATAATTGTAAAAACCACGGACTCCGATTATTATCCACTTAACTCCAGTGCTTTCAGAGAAGCATTATCTCGCATAGGATTATGAAGCCACTGCATGACAATGTCCATCCATCCAGTCAATGGATTTGTCAACTTCTGCATAATAATTTCCTGACCCTTACACAATTGTATATCTATGATTGATAGGGACTCTAATATAAAGGATATTAAACTGCCAGCAAAACAGATAAAAAAACTACAGCTTCCATCCTGATCTTACTGAGACTCCAGTAACTTTGCCTACTTTAATCAGCAAATTTACTATCGAAAAATGTAGTGATCGTCGTTGACAAGGTTAAGCAAGTAATCATTGATACTATCACTTAGTCAATATCACTTTGTTGAGCAAGTAATTACTGTAAATCTTGGACACCAACAGCCTCTCATTACGTTCGGATCAAAAGCCTTAGCTCCTGGTATGAACGGATACTCTAAACTTTGTACAGCATCAGGAAATCATCAAGGAAGTGTTTCAACACCACCACTCCACTCAAAATAGTCTGTTCTCCCCATTCCCAAGCCTGCCATCATAATATATCTTTCCTGCAGAAAATCCCTCCATCCAATGAAGACATCATCAGAAACAGTAGGATGAAGGTATCACAATAATCCCCTTCTATAATACTTCTTCTCAATGACTACCCACCATAATCGCGCTTCATCGACCCCCAAAAACCATTTGGTCAGCGGCAAGATACTGAAATCTCGAATGTTAATTATTCACAACCTTCATTCACTTTTACTTTGTCACGTCATCCACCATTCCGAAACAAAAAGAAACATATTCGGATAGTCTGTAGTCTTGTGGACATAGTTTGTAGAATAGATAAAGTGCCTAAGTTTACAGAGACGAAAACTCAAGTATGTCAAAGCTAAGCATCCCACCATACACCCCATGAAGCAAGGTCTGCCTTTCAATATTCAAGCTGACTATTACACTCTTCTTAACAGGTATGATACATAAACTTAAACTGAGCGCTATCCTAGAAATGTTTCAAACAAACTTGAACTTCCAAGTCCAACGAAGAAAAGTAGGATAGTCAATTTGAAAATATGATTGCAAATAGGTAAAGAATATGTAAGAAGTTGAGTTTCTATTCAAAAGTTTTATTCACAGTAATTTGAAAACGTTAAAAGTTAAACATTCAGGAACGAAGAGCAGTGACCACACTCAACAGCAAACAGGTAAACTGAAAACGCTGAAGACTAGCCTGACATAGTCGATTGTCCTCTCATAAAGACCCCGCCCAACATAGTATCGTTCCTGAGCACAGCAAAACACAGATATGAATATTTATGGCCAATCATGCGAAGATGATGTCATCAACTGCTTTTACAAAGGATAGCAAGTAAAAGACCTGGTATATCCATTTGAAGAACTGAAAGAATGGCCACTTCTCAGAGACATCTGAAAGTCCATGGCAAGCTGGAAATTTGACTAGCAAAGCGAATGAGGCGCGGATGGCAGTATAGATTCCCATGATAAGTATATAAATTCTAAAATAGCTCGAGTTTGAGTTTGGCCTACTCTTCTCCTTCAAGACATTTCTGTGATAAATAATTTTTAACAATAAATATTAATGGAGACATTAGATAAGCATATTTTGCAAAAAAAAATCCATTAAAAAAAAACAAGCAGAAAGAAAGACAACTCAGAAACACGATAAGCAGTAATTGTACTTGAGAATAGCATGCTTACATGTAGATATAAGTTATGAACGCTGAACTGATGCCAAACCACAAAAATCTAATAATCAATCTTGACAGTGCAAAACCTCTAGCTGTTGTATATGCTCCAAACATAAGAAACAGATCCAATGAGCCTGAATGGTGAACAAAAATCTGCAATCAGGGAACTCATGCAAAGCATGAAAACCAAAGTCCAGGGTCACTGCAAACACAAAGCCGTAGACATACTCTCAACAAACTTCATGACAGCATAGGTTGGTCCGATGCTGAGAACCTCTTTAAAAGTATCAGTATTTATGGTTCCATGGTTAAAAGCTATAATTGCAAGTCCCTGAAAAGTTATGAAGAAAAAACGATAAAGAAAACCTGATCCAAAGAATACTTACAGAAAATGAAAAAAGAAGAAAGAAAACAACCTGAAAGAATACGGCCAAGAAAATCCATAACCTATGGAAACTCCGATATAAGTGGAGAAATGTGCGATGCTCAACAAAGCTACTTTTTCCAGTCTGCAAATGTCAATAACGAAAACTAATGATCAGATTCAGGTCAAAAAGCCTAAGTGCGTATACATAGGAAATTAGGAGAACAGTAGAACTGTATAAAACGCCTCTCCCTGTAGCTCTAAGGACACATGTCAACAAAACGTATCTACAAGAAACTACAGACGCTTGGTCAAAGATGACATAAATACAGGACCCTACAGTCAATCGTTTCTATCAATATTCTGAAAAACCTATTTAAAACCAACTGTAGTTGGTTGACCCACGAAGCATAATCTATCACCAAAAGAGATGAATCAGAATGCTTGGGCAGTTCATCTATTTACACCAACAACTTAAGCTAACGGTGTCGTTTCTAGGTGGAGTATCAAACAAGATGAAAATATTAGCAAAGAATACATACATCACTCAATTCCCGAGGCACAGATCTAAGACAAGACAAAAAAAAGGCCTTACGAGGAAATACATGCAAAAGAAGCCCCAAAAATGGGCAAGACACACTCAAATTCAAAAATAAGGATCAAGAAAGTACATTTAGATTAATCTATAAACATAAAAGTAATCAAAATGTATATTAACGTAATGGCAAAAGGTACAGTTAACAAACAGAGAAAATGAAAGCATAAGGTAAAAGTCATTATGCATTTATAACACAATCATGCGCTTTATAACATAAAATAATCCTTTCAGACCTCAGAGACAGAAATCGAAGAACATGCAATCATACTGACTTGTGGTCAACCAAAGGCAAGATTCAAGAACATTTGCACATAACGAGAGGACTAAAAAATTTGATACAACCCCACTACTGACCTGCAGAAGGCGTAAGAAAAAAAGTCACGTGCATCGGCACGTGAGATGGGTTATAAATACAGAATGAGAAGAGGGGATCTAGGGGAGGAAGATCGTATTTTGGAGAGGCGGGGAACCCCCTCAAACATTGTTCCCATACTTCACCTTTCTTTCCCTCTTCTTTCCCTTTTCGTCTATGTTATCTGAAGAGACTGTTCATCCCGTTGTTTTGTCTCTCGTCACTGATGAGAGCCCGTGAGTTCAATACTAGCATTTTGTCTCTCCTGTTTTTGTCCAGATTTGAACCTCCCATAGAGGATCGTAGCAGAATTACACGACAGGCAAGCACCACCTATAAATAAAGGGCTCTTAAAATGGAAGTTTCATCCCCTCCAAAATTAAAAAGGAAACTTTCCAAACTCTTTCCCCCCATCTCAATCACATCTTCAGCACACTGATATATAACTGGACGAAATACCTTATTGCTCCCTAACCAAATACAGCAAAGACCACCTGCTGAGATACCAACATTATGCACCCATTAAACAGGTCACGCTTAAACTAGGAACGAATGAATATCAGTCAAGTAACAAAATGGAACTTCAAAAAACAAACGAATATGCAACAAGCAAAGGCTGCAGCATTGAGATATAAATTAAACAAGAAGAAATTAGAAGACAAAAGGTATGGTGAGCCACAGAATCAAATTTAAATTAAGATGGTCATGACGTCCCCAAAGAAGATATTCATGAGTCGTCCTCTCTGAACCTCTTCCTAAAAGCAAAATTTTACCACACTTATTTTGATACTTCTCCTATTCCCTGCAACCAACTATTTTCTTACATTGAACCATCACTTATGGTAGGGAAAAAAATTTCAGCACAAAGATTGAACTAAAAATACTTATGATGCGACTAACTTTCAAAAGTAATACGACTTCTTTACTAAAACCAGAAGGATGCTTGCTTTCAAGCCCAACTAAATACAAATTACACAGTAAAATGTCAAGGAACCAACAATCACAAAGACAAATAAAGCTTGCGAAAGAGTAAACTAACTCTTCTCCTTTTAGTTGGCTTTAATAAAAATGCTGAGCTTCTCTCTGGTGGCCAGCTCAATTTCATGCAAGAAGGTGACCTAATTCAAATAAATGATATTAGGAGGATGGTAATGCCAGTATGACACCATAATGGGAAGTTTAAAAAAACATACCAGAAATATTCATTGAAGTCATCATAGTTCCGCCAAGCTGAGTGTGCAGATTTCCCATTATTATTTCTATCAGCCTCCTAAAACCAACATCATTTATAGAGAGAAAATAAAAACAATCAACAAATAAAACGAAACAAAATTACATGCATGATACTTTGGAGGAAAAAGCAATGCAAATTCTTGGGTATTATTCCAATATTTCAGGTGGCACCACCATACTGCGATTCATTTTTTCCGAGGTTCATGATGAAGGCAGACATTTTATGGAAAAGATACCCGTGTTTATGATCAAATAGGTATGGAGAATATAGAAACAAAAACCCTATCAGGGAAAAGGTTCAAACCAACAACCCTCAAGCCAAACAACCAGCTATTAGACCTATGCTATAATAGAAAGACAACAATGTTCCATATGATGCCAAGAATATCAGATACAAGACATAAATCACATCAGATGGTACAGAATGTGCACACCCTTCTACACTGATGGGGCTCATCTTGGCTGTTGAAGATGCAACATAGAATTAAAGTTCTTTTAGAAAAAAGGTTTCTGATAACGTACTGCTTTCATTGTTTCGTACATAGGACAAATAATTTCATCAAGGAATGAAACAACACCAGCTTCATTCGAACAACTTTTTGCTGGCTGAGCATCCGATTGATTTAATATTGCATCCAAATCTTTTGCCATCTGCATGCCCAGAAGAAAGAAATCAAGGGATAAAAATAACACGGATATCCTACTGACATGACAAAAAACACAAGAGATGTTAGTAAAAGAAAGTTATCATCTTATATTGTTTCTATATCGAAAAAAAAGATATTATGAAATTTGGAATTCAAATCATGACCATTGTAGTCTGCAATTAACAGTTTAAAGAAAGTTAACTTGAAGAGTATAGCCAGCGATAACAGAAAATTAACCATATTACCTTGAAAAATAATTAACGTGACAAATGAGGATGCAATAGATGGAAATGGAGATAGAGAAATGGGTGCGTAATTATAAAGTAGAAGAACAAATTTCCCAACAAAATAAGAATTTCAAGTCAGGGAAGCGGTTGACCCTACCATACAGGCAATGAATACAAAGGATCAATCCGACACATTACTTATGTATAATCCAGTTGAATGAACATATAAATTTGCATGGTTAGCTAATTCTGAGTACCATGTAAGAGGTTCCTGATAAGACTCACACAACTCTCTCATGCTTCCAATCAAGTATAAAGTAACCATGCGCTCTGTAGCGAGTCATCCATCCCTCATCCATTTGCAGACAACAATTTGGGATAGGTTTACCTCATCTTCCATCACTCATAAGATAGTTTATCCAACCATATTCATCATTCATGAAATTATTTTCAGAAAACTTTGTCACGACACATCAAGCACTCCACAAGGTAAAATGGAGCTTTTTTTCAATTCTGATCTTGTAAAGCTAATCCAGTGGAATAGCTGATCGTGCGGTAATAGGAGGTTTCTTAATTACAATCAATCAAAATATTGAATCCTGAGTTGTCTCTCAATAACCTCGATTTCCTCATGATCAATAAAAAACTATCAGATTCTTTAGGATCACATCAGGATGGAGAAACTCCGAGCATCTTCGTATTAGTTAGCAATACTCACAGACCAGTATAGAAGAAGATGATAAATGATGATAGATAGAGGAAAGTTGAATTTCAGGAAACGATACTTGATTAATTCACCTCTAAAACGCAAATGGTGCAATCTTATCCAATGCAGACAAAGATGATAAAATAAAAAAATTAAAAGGTTGCTACTATTGTGATATGATTGAAGATCATTTGTTCCAACACAAAAGACAAGGGACGACATTCAAGAAAATAGATAGCGCCTCTCAGGATCCCCTACGCTGTAAGGCACGAAAATTACCTATCAAATACACAACTACCACTTCAACAATGATTTCCGTCTAAAGGTGCCAAAAGTATGAGTAGCTGAGGATGCACCAAACAAGAAAAAAGATCAGTAATGCAATAAAAGACAACCCTCTTAAAGCGGAGATAAGAAGGTATCCCAAGAAGGTTAGCGCTTGGAGTATCAATCTAAACTTTAATGGCAGGACTTTTTTGATAACATGACCAATGCTGCCTCCAGCGTAAGGTGTTCATACTTATTTCCCCATTTTTGTCTGTTGAATTCACATTTAACAACATTGCCTAAACAAGTCTTTAGGTACATCCCGGATATATCTGTAATATCATGGAAAAGAGAAATCCCTTTAAAGAAATTGGATGAAAACAAAAACCTTTTAATGGCACTACCTATGTAAATCTTAGGTTTATCCTTCAATGTTTTACAATGGACTATGTCAATTAAAGGGTTTCAAGGAAATTTTCCAGTTGCAAGGACCGTACACACATACATTGCCGATCAGAACATGTGAATTTTTGATGTTCCAATCATCTGCATTCTAGCAACAGAGAGAATCTCCGCACAATTTATCATCAAAAGGCCTAAACGGCAGACCTGTAACATCCTATACATTCACTTGAGAGACAACATAGCATGGCTAATCAGTCAGATTAACTGCCCAAATGCATTGTCCCAAAATCAAGATAAAAAAGAACATGATCACCAAACCAAATGAAAAGCATGAATGACAATACAGAATAGTATGTCACTGTGAAAGGACACTAGAAAACAGTTGATCTAGCAGAAGTTATTGCCAACTCGGTAGTATAAAATACTTATTAACATTCATAAAGAAAAATGGATGCAAATATGTACTCTCATAGAGATCTCCCTTTGCACAGAAGTTCCATGATCTACAACTAAGCGGTAAACACGATATTAAAGACCCAAGCTCCAAAAATGGGGTCCATCTTCCCCCTCCACTGCAACAAGTCTTAGTCCACCAGCTTGCTCTACCATAAGAGTTCGTGATCACTCTCATCCCCAATATGTGCTAAAAAGGATATATAAATTAGATGAGAACGAGGATAACTAAATGTGCACCAATAATATGAAACAACCCAGTAGCATAAATTCAAGAATTACAGATAAATAGGACAAATATCAAAGAATCTTGAGATACATTCTATACGTAAACATCATAGAAATTTCCGAAAGTACTCACACGGTGGAATATGTAGCATATGCACTCTGGAAGAAAACGAACATTTGCCGCTTCACCCCAAATGAGAAAGTATAAGCAAACCATTATAAGTTTCCTGTCCCTGTGGATTGCTTCCGGGCTGCATATTAATCAAAGTTCAAAGCTTGTCAAACGAATTCCATGGAAGGCATCATGAAACTGATACAACCCTACTCAAAGATGAATAAAAAAGCAAACAAACTAGGACACTATGGATGTGAACAAGTCTAATAAAGCTTCTTTAAAACAACTCGCTTGATTTCAAGCTGCTTCTTCCCATATTCATTTTCCTAATAAATCTCATTGATGTTGCATTTACCCATATATTAGTTCCTATAAACTAATGTATTTCATGCGTATTAACAGATGATGTGTTTAAGCCCAAGAGCCTTGAAGCTCCTAAAGAAGCCTCTAGGAGCTCCGCTAAGAAGAGCTGGAAAAAGTGCGGTTGTAAACCAGTTCAAGCTCCAGCCTATCCAGTTTTTGTTTAAATATAATAAAAATAATGCCGAATTCATGTGATTAAATTTATCCAATGATACGCATTAACAAATTCATCTTTCAAAATTATGCTCTTCCTAAGCCCTACATATCATGGATAGCAAGTTCTGCATGAGCAAAATTTCGAGGGACAAATCTTCCTTCCACAAAAGCTAATTGGGAATTTTATGTTGACCAGAACACTGTTCCATCCGCTGCATAATTTTACAGCATTCATCAACGTAACTCATTGATATAGTATACAGACGCTTGAGCACAAGCCTTTTAATGCGACTAGCACTTGCCTAGCCATCAGAATTTAGCAACCTCAGGCCAAAGTGGTGTCGGCATTCACCCACCTTAGGATTAAAAAACCCAGCTACAGTTGTCTAACAGACCCAAGTACCTTAATGGACCGTTAACCTAGGAGACCTGGATCCATAGGGAGTCTAGGCCATAAATCTCGACAGGTTTAAGAACATGGAATGTCCAAGAGAAGCATTTCGCAGAGTGAGGCTTTTCCTCAAACATCACAGATTAGTTTCCACAGCTTCAAGCAGAACGCCTTCAACCTCATTACTTTCACACCATTCATTGAGGTGACTAACAGACCTGTGACATAACACATTGACAGAGCACTCTTCGACCACAAGGGATGTGCAGTTAAAACAGTTTTTCCGAGCTTATTTACCAACAAACATGATATTACTCCCGATGATTCTCCAGTAGAGACAATAAAATCCAATGTGGAGACAACCAAGCTATATATGAACAGTCTGCCGTACACAATCTATTTACATTGTCAATTGTATCCTTCAAACGTTGCGATAAATTGAAATACCAAAGTAGAACTCTCTTATTGTTCTAACTCATCCGTCCATGGGTAAGAATATCTAGCTTCTTGAGATGATGCACAATTTTCTTCTTGAGATGAGCATCAGTGACCTGTTTATGAGCACAAGTCAACTAGAATGGCATTGGTCCCAAAAGCTGACTCACTTGGCACAATCCTTACATCATGTCATCTATGAGTAAAAAAAAGGTCAATAGTCCAAAAAAGTAACTTTAACATGTAACCACAGCTTAAACAGTTCATTGATGCTCGGAAAATTTCTGACAGCTTTTAAGAACTACGAGAACCAATATTTTTTACATTCAAGAACTTAAACATTCTGTAGTAATGTTAATGAACCAGAAGATCTAAAAGGCGAAGACATAAATCCAGTGAACTTTTGATACAAGGATGCAACAGAAAAGAGACACGCAACAGTAAAACTGCAAATCCTAACCAGGAGAAAAGGATCTCAAATAAAAAGTACAAAACATTTATAATCTGCAATGGAAACGTATAAAAGAACTATTGAGAGCCATAGAATAAGTTATGAATTATCAGTCGTGAACTGTCAAATTCTGAACCTGTCCAGTACCTGTTCCACGCAACACGAAACCCTAGATATCTACACCATTTAGCGTAATTGTCTAGCACCTTTGTAAAAACTTCAACAATCACTTTTCCATCAATCTTCTGTACAATAAAAAAAGAAACAAATGACATTATCGCTTCACACAGTTTCTCATAAAATCGGATGTCAACAATACAACTAAATCGACAGATACTTCTAAACAACAACATGAAGCACCAACTTACAGGTTCCGAATCAACAGGCATTCCAAAGCGAGACTGAGTGTTTGCTAGAATAAGAACAACATTTTCACGTTGGTTCCGGATATTATCTTTCTGTGTCAAAAAGAACAAATGCATTGTTAATAGAAAAGCATAAACAGTGACAAGACAAAAACAATGATCCAAATAGAAAACAACAATCAGCTGAAAAGTGAAGATATTAACAACTTCCAAAAGTATACTGAGTAATAACCACCACAAGTGAAAATAACAGGAAACTCATGTTCTTGTAGCATCCAAAAGGATACAAGAACAAATTAGTATGAAAGCCAAATATTCAACGCAGTCACATGTTAGAGCAAAGAAATCAACTGAAGAAAGGCTTGTGAATAGTTTAACAACCTGAAAACCAAAAGCATACTCCAAGAGGTCAAACATGTCGAGGCCTCTTGATTGAGGAGCTTTAACATCAGCGGGTAGATAACAGAAATCAGCAGGGTAGGCAATTGCAGAAATCGCAGCTTTTACCTGATACAGTAACCAAGAAATATGATAAGGATGCACGTGGACAAAAAATAATTTGAAGAGTTGCAGAATTAGTGATAATTGTCTGATTAACATTAAAAATAATAGAACTAAATACGCACAAGATATCCAAGCGGCAAAAGACACAAGTAAGATGAAGCAAGTAAAATTACACGGAATATATGTGACCTCTCTCCTGAAATTGCATGAAAAACATTGAGATGAACTATATTAAGGCTCTGCAACAACTTGTTATTGTAGACCACTATAGAGCAATATTCTCAGCCCATAATCTATAATCTCAAAGAGAATAATACTAAGTTGGGCAATGCACTAAACACTCGGAAATAGCCAAAGCAGTTTCAAAAAACAAAAACTCAAAAGTTGTTGCAGAAAAAAGTAGTCAAACTATTTACCGTTTAGGAATGAAGTTACTACTCGAAGTTCTCTTCTAAATAGCTCAAACGTGAACAGAACAGGATGTCCCTTACAGGCATCACTTCAATCGATATGTCTAACATTGGACCTGAGACACTTTTCTACACGAGATGCCATTTCAAGATAGAAAAACATGTACATTTTTTTTACGAAAAACAATTACCTACAATCAGATATCAACAACTAGCCAAACAAAAGCACAGATTGAGTTCACACATCACTTGATTCTGCTAGACTAAGAATCATGGAGAAAATCTAATGCAACTTGGTGAACGAAAAGAAGTTGGAGAAGAAGAGAGAGACAACCGCAATAGAAAAAGATGAAAAGCTGAACGAATCTTAAGATCTTTTTTTAGCAGTTCTTTATTTTAAAGCCTCATGTTTAAATTTCGTATAAAACACTATCACTATGGAGTAAAATTCAGGCCAACTCATGGACAGTTCAGAAGCAATCGACGACATGGAATTTATTTTTCCCAACACTTAGCATGCTAGCGTTGGGAAATTTCATATTTATATCTTCAAAGCCCCACTGAAGATGTTGAAAATCTGTATTGAATTCAGAATCCAAGGGTTATCAAGTTAAATAGACCAGAGAACACGAATGAATGGCCTTTAACCTGAACATCAGAAATCCTAAATGAATCGTTCCTTTGATTTTGAGAGGGTGGAAAATCTTCAATTTACCCCACTCTGATCTCAAAACTTAGTCTATTATTATCACAATCTAACAACTTATTGTTTTAACAAGTTAACAAGAAATTCCTCGAAAATTGTGATAAAAATTATAGTTATTTCCTACTTTACTACCTTTAAATGAAGAGTAGCTAGAACTACAAGCCATTATGAAATGATGTCTTGATACATATGCAATTCAAGGGGTACACCATTTAAAGGATGGAACATATTCTTCTGATGGACCTTATTAAACTGTATTATCACAAACACAGCATCTCTGACCTTTTCCAGGTTTATTGCATTGCATTGCAAGAGAGCAAGCAATAAAAAAGTAAAAACTACCAGAATATGTTCTACTAAGCATATAGGGTCCAAACAGTGATCTACGCCAGTTGCACATTGATGACCTAGATATTGATACATGGTCGCATTCATTCTGTGGCATTGTAGAGCAATTGTTAGAATAAGTATGCACACTACCTCACTCCCATAAAATTTCATGAACCGAGCATAATGGCAAAAGGCCTTACTTCAGGAAAGAACCCAATGGCATTAGCCAAGGATGGAGCATCAAGTGGTACTATATTGTACGGAGTAAGTTCACCGAATGTTACATCAGTTTTCTTCACCTTTCTCACCTGTGATACAGAAAAGGAAAAAAATAAATTGTCAATGCAAACTCAACCGAAGAAAAAAATCATTTACCAAAAAAATAGTATCAAAAAAATCGACCAAAAGGCACAGTTATTCATAAATTCTCTTGTGGCGTTTCCCAAAGTATTTATGTTCATGAATATTTCAAAGGAGATAATTCCAGCACCAAAATTCGGAGATGCGACTTCCAGGTACTGAGCCAAACTGATTGTTGAGATAATGCTTTATGTTGAGACGGTGATCATTCCAACATGCTGCAGGGTTAAAATAGAAATTTCAGCCTCTTCAAGATGAAGATATATATCCTGTCTCTTCATTTGATATACAAGATCACACAAAACTTCTAAACTGATTGATATCTTACTTTCAGAACTGCTTATAGGTAGCATCAGCCATTACCAAAGAACTGACACCACTTAATGGCAGAAATAAATTTTCATCCTTATATCACCTCGACTTTGCCTTCCTGGTTCACACAATTATCGGAGATTAGTACCCCGTATGGACACACATTCTTCATGACTCAGAAGCCTGCTCACCTTAGATAGCTTTTTCACTATTCCTTAATCTCTATTGCTGACACTCTCCTATACACCGCATGAAGCTAGAGAAGGAATTGATCCTAGTAACAACGTTAAGAATCTTGTCCGTGCCTTGGGTTTTCCCTCATGTTTGAGACTTAATAACCACACGATTCCTCCAGGACCAACAAGTTATGCATAACATCATAAGCCTCATTTCTGGAAAACAATAGCATCAGATGAGCACCACATAGGCCAGTCAATCCCAGGAGATTGAGCTTTGTCAACCATGGTTCCTACCCCCTATGCTTGCAAACATCATCTTCACTGATCCTCATATTCACTCCAATGCTCTGTCAGAGGCCTACTCAAACTCTCAGAAGAAAATCATACTCAACACTTTTCCACAAAACCTTTAAAGAAAGAAACTGCACCATAAATTAAACCTCACACAAAATCAGATATCATGTCCTATTCACACAGTCTATGACCCTCTCCTGATCCTACAATGAAATTAGCGCCCAACATAAGTCATGCCATTCTTCAATGATGACAAGAAACTCCATAAGGACGACGAACAAGATGTCATCGATGGTCCCAAATTCCACACTGTTGCAGATTACAATTCGGCTAAAACAGGGTATTAGCTATGAGTTTGTTCACAAGCACACATGGGCATCTCAAAATACCAAGAATCTGAAGAAACGGAATAAACAACTTTCATTGATAAACCTACATATCTACTGGTTAATGAGGATCATCTCCTACCCAATCAACTCACGAAAACAGATGGTACATCCCAAAATTGCAAGTTAGGACATGAGCAGACGAAAGCTACAATGAGATAATTTAACATATATTAAGGAACATCAATTGACAAACAAATGAGGTGATAGAAAATTCTATGATATAATGGATTAAAAAAAATAACATTTTCTCAGACTAATTAGAAGAGAAAGAAGTTTGAAATAGATTCGACCCCGTGACTTATGGCAGATAAAAAGGAATAAAATAAATCTATCCAACTTTATGTTGAAGCTACCTCCTCAATGATTTGTCTTCCCAACCGATCTGAGTAGGAATCTCCCACAAGTGCCTCCAGGACATTGATTAGCACCCTCAAAGTAGTATATACCTTTCTTACTCTGAAGAAAGCGGAAAGAATACATTAGACTATTGGAAATCTTGATTTAGCATAAAGAAATAAAGTGAATTCCTCCTCCAGGCAGGAAAAATATAGTCACAAAAAAAAATTGAAACTAATTGGATGGTATTCCAGATAATATGGACTCCAGTGGTATTAAGAAATAGAAAAAGGGAAGAAAGATTTCCACATGTGACGAATCCTTCTCCAGTAGAATAATGAGCTAACATTTGCCACAAGATGTGTCTGCATAATTCAATGACAAAAAAGATTCTGAATGAAGCTTGTACAGTGACACATCATTTTCCCTTATCTGTTTTATATTAACAAGGAAGAAACCAGTACTCGAGCCCCCACACTAAACCCACTTTAACTATCAACTGATGCTTCCACCTTGCAACCTTCTGGTGTCAAGTCTTATAGAGCTAATCCTTACCAGACAAATTCTGTCATTTCCACACTTTTTATTTGCATTTATGCAGTTACAATGATTATTGAATATTAATCTATCCCTTATACCACTTCTCTGAAGGGATTGCCCCATTTTATCATCATTCCAATGTTCACAAGTGTCAACAACTCTTATAATTAAAAAATCAGCAAAAATTTAAACTTTTCAACAGAAAAAAGATAGTATACGAAACATTAAGACTTAAAAACTAGGTGTTTAACTTCAAAAATAATTTTTCTAGCATTGTTTGGTAGAAATCAAAATTTCAAGAAGATCAAAGAGATACTTTAGATGATGCCGAAGAAATTTCATTTCCGTTGTTTTCCTATCAATGAAGCCAGTATTTACTTCCGTTCATTCCGCCAAGAAAAAACTATTTATTCAACACAAATGTCACGCGTCATTCTTTTCTGATTAGATGCTGACTGCAGATTCCTCCAACGTCTCCGAAACCATATCATTGTAAGCTGACAGTTCAACACCACATGACAGTTCAATACAACATAAGCTGATACTTCTATGATTCTTTTATGCTCAAAATTGCATCGGCCACATGTCTAAAAAAATAAAAAATGGAACTCTGTGACTGTTAAATTCCCAGGAAATAAAGCTATACACGTACTGCTCAAAGCTGCTGCTGAACGTTCCAGATTCAGTCAGCCTTTGCTGCTCCTTTTGGACATCCTCCACCCTGTGATGCCTTTTATAAGACTTGTAGAAATTCCACAGATGTTCAATGGCCCGTTCACGATCAACTCTCGGACCCTTTTGCTGCGAATTTTCAAATAGATAAGTCGAAATTTTATTCGATAAATGAATGGATATCAGTTAGCCTAAATTGGGGTTTCTAAGAACATTAGAACATAAAAAGGGAATTACAATGGTTGGAAATACCTTAATGACAGACAGCAGGCCGGTCTTGAACTGCACTACACCCCTACCTTCACTGTTGGGGTCCAATTTCTGAGCCATTCCATACGCTTGCTCGCACACTGAGTTCCCAATGAGGCAGTCCAAGTGTCATGTGAATAAAAACATGTCAAGAACAAGTTGAGAACTTTGAATCGCAACAAATTACAGAAGCCAATAATTCAGGCATAGAGAACGTTCAAAAAGCTTCTTATCTTAACCCCGCCCACCCGGGTTTCGTCAGAAACTAAAAACCGTACTGCTCGCGCTTTCACAACTATTGGCACTCACTAAATCGGCAGAACTTCAATTTCACGCCATACACAATGGCGAAAAGCTCTAAATTCGGAAAAGGATATATAAAAGAGCTAAGCGGCTCACATATGATAAGCGTACGGTAGGGAGAAAGGAAACTCACGGATCCTAGCGACCATAGGGTCCTCAACCTCAATCTCATTGGCCAACTGCAGAATCGCGTCAATGTTGGACGTCCCGACGAGAGAGGGCGGCACGGCCCCGGCGATCCCAGCGCCCGAGGCTTGCGCCCTGCCCATCCCCTGGCCAGCTTTCCAAAGTTGATCCCTCTGCAGGACCGCCCGCACCAGGCGCTCCCAGTTCTCGAAAACGTTCCCCATGTTGTCAGCCTCCGCACCAACCAGAGAGAATAGGAATGACGAGAGGGAGGAGGCAGCAAAGGTCGAGAGAAGGAGGGGCAAGATGACAGGTCGGAGGAGGGGTTACGCAGGGTTTCCGCGGAGAGCGGTCTCCACAGAAGGGAAGCACCAAAGTGGCGACGCCGGTGGCGGCAGCGATAGCATGACCTGCGGTGAGATCGGGACCGCCGGAGGAAGGTGGGAGAAGAAAATGGGCCGGAGGCGGAGAGACGGTGGAGGTGGCGGCGGCGGCCGCGGCGGTGGTGGTGGCGGTAGAGATATCTTCGTCGAGAGGGCTCTGATTAGTGGGAGGTGGTGGTGGCGGAATTCGAAAACAGAAGGGTAACATAGTAAATTCACTCGGGTCTCCGATCAGTTCCTCGCACGCGGTCCGAGACGCTGTCACGACTCGGACAAGATCGCCGACTTCGACCAAGGGAATCTCACCCGTCCAATTTGCATCCAACGTCCCCACATGCTCAGCAGGATCTGATGCCTCCGATCCCGTCCACGTCGGGTCTACGTACTCGTTCCTTGGAAGGAACGAGACATGATTGGATCTGATCCACTGATACGTCAATTTTGGCCGTTGATCGATCGATCGGTCTGCTTCGTGGCTGTGAGCGTCAGCGCACACGACTTGACAAACTTACCTAGCTCAAAAGGTGCACCTGTTCATTGGTGAGGTCCACTTGATCGAATCAAGTCAACCCAAAAGTATTGACTTCGAGAATCTGATCCACGACAAATGGATTACTGAGTGAGAGAGGCTGGTGAGATTCGTAAAAAGGTAGAAGAAGGCCACAATCCGATCAAAATAGTCAACGCCTTATTTCCACTCGACTTTTGTGATGAAAAGTCAACCCAATAAGTATTTTTAAAGAATATAATCCAGTTCTATTAATTATGTCAATTAAGAATCCTGTCAAAGTAGAAGACCAAACACTGAGTTATATGAACGAAATGATCCAGATATTTTTATTCGTCGTCTTTATTTTCTTTTAAAAAGTCAACTCTATGAACCCACAAAATCTAGTTTGAACATAAAATCCATTGAAGCCTAATGTGATTAGATGAGGATCTACTCGTCAACTCCCCAAGCCAGCCATAAGATCATACCACTCTCAGCACCAAGTCAACGCATTGGAGGCCAGTTGAATATCTCGATGCATTGACCCTTGCTCAGTTGAATCGGGTCACCCCAAAAGAAAAAAAGGCCAGTTCCTGGATTCCACCCCTTGACTGAGAGAGGTCAACTCTGAGAATAAGGTGAGAGTTGTGGTGCGTCCCCCACAGGAATTGTGGGTCCCGCTAAAATTAAAATCTCTCTACTTGAGAAATTTGTTGGTGGGCATGAAACGAGAACAACCCAAAGGATTTGGGCCCATGAACTCGTACCGTATTGGCCCATTAGACCCCATGCTCACCATAGATGCATATAATTCAGAGAGAGAGAGCTGCTCGTTGAGTTCGCTCGGTGGCGCGGAGGGGTAGCCGTTGTCTGGAGGCCGATACCCCTCGAAGGTATGCTCCTGTCGATACTCTTGCTTCTCCAGCGGCCATTGTTGAGCGGTTTTTGTTGAGTGGGTCCTGCTATGGAGCGAGAACTGGGGCGGATCGATGCCCCTGGGGCATCCCCGGGATAAGGATCCGTAAACCCTACGCTCGGGGACCTTCGGTGAGCCCCTGGGTAGAGCTGTTGTCGAAAGTTGGAGTGGTTGGCCTAGCCCCGAAAGAAAGGGAAAACTCTTGTTCACAGGCTCGGCGAGGTTGAGTGAATTGTGGGGCCTGGTTTCATGTACGGTTGGGAAAAACTCCTAGGAAGTCTGTGCATGGGCCACTCAGTGTAGTCATAACCTGTGTATCTTGATAATGAGATGTATAATTGGGGACACTAAGACGTTAACGTAAACAACAGATTGATTCTTTTAAACACTGCCATGGACCATTTTTTCGTTTAATATTTTTAATTAATTGAAATAACCGTCGGTAAATTTATTTTAAATGTTCTTTTAAACACTGCCATGGGAAAAAAAATCTGCATTATTCCAATGCAGAAATTCGTGAACTCATAATTGCGATTCAGGTTTAGTTTTTATGATTCCCTACTCAATGTATATGTGATAATGAGATGATGGGTCAAATGATTTTGGAAATTTATGTTTGATATGTGCACAAGAGTGAATACACAAATAATGAATGGATATGGATGATGCGAAAGAGCCACCTCTGGAAGGATATGAACCCCTTGTAATGAAGCACCTCTGTTGGATATGGGCAGCACTTGTAGGAAGCAATTGTGAAACCCTCGTAAGGCTATGTGGTTGAATGGGAGGTGTGAAGTTTCACAGGTTTTTGTACAGAAAACGGATCCCTCACAATGACTATGCCTGACTGTGACAATGATGCTTTGACCTTCCCAATGTCATAGCTGAATGTATGTTATTTATGTCCAAACAGTATTTTGACGAAAAAAGGCTTGTTATTTGTAAGAAATATAATCGCAGAAGTGTTTAAATATTAAATACAAACACAGTTTGTATTGATGATTTCTCTAGATTTATTTTGATTTTCTATTTACTCATTTTATTTATTATTATTTTTTATGACATTACTAGTTAACCATGATTGAGGTGATAAGTACGGTGATACTACCAAATTAGTAGTTTTTGTTGACTATTTTGTCATGTGTGAGATCACAAGATTAGGATCTTCTTTTGAGTCGAAGGACTTATCTATACTTTTCAGCCTTTTAGGTGAAAAATCTATTAACTACGTGCTGTGTGACTATCAATATTTCCGTATTCAGGAAACATTATAAAGATGCCCAAAAGGATGCCCAAAAGGATGAGAAATTACTTAGTGAATTCGGAACGCTGAACAGCAGCTTTGGACAGTATGTCGATCCCTTTTTTCCTAAAGTTAATTTTTTTTATTGTGAAAAAGGTTGTTTGTATAGTCTCAGCCACTTCTCTCATTCATTCTTTACCAAAATGCGTAATACCATTTTGAACGTCAAAAAGTCATAAATCACCCCCGTATGTGGTTATATGAGTGTTTCACTATCAATGTAGTATGATATAGCTTTGCTCAAACTTACTGGAACGCCAGAGGAATGCTTTTGCTGCCATGTAGTCCACGCTGTCTGACATTTAAAAAAAAAGTGATGTAAATCATTTCTTGATGAGTAAATAGTTTTTTTCCATTTAATGGTTCAGCCAGCATTACTAAGAATTAAAGAGTTCAGATATTGGAGAGCTGGTGGGTTTGGATTTTTTTCCGATCGAAGCATTATAATCTCATATTAATTAGAGTGTGTCTGTTCAGATGCTTTTGGTTGCTCATTGTTGTTTATGACCATTATTCCTAGTTTCTATCTTTTTTTATAATTCTATGTTTATGCCTTTATCAATTGCATGAGATGCTTATTTTTGCTGAGTTAAGTCGTACTGCATTCTCTATTCAATGATGGGATTAGCTTTTCGATTTCTTTATCTTGTACTTGCATTCAGTCTTGCACTGTATGACGTTCATTTTTCTCGAGTTGTAGGTGAGCTTGAGGGGATTATTTCTTTGTACAATAGAAAAATATGGACCAAACGGTCTCCAATGCAGAAGGTTCTTCTCAATGGGATTTTTCGTGGTCAGTGTTTGTTTCTTCATTAGTATTCTGTCTCTTTTCTGCCATGTTTCTATTCTGTCTTTTGATCTCGATCTGTTGTAGTACCTTTGGCTGCCTTTAACCTCTCACTGATCCCTGTGACTTAGATGAGATTGCTGCGTTTCTTCTCTTTCTGCTCCAACAACAAAGGACAAAACCTCATGTGAAGAAAGATGCAAAATGCTAAGTGTAGCAGCTCTCTTTTTCCTCAGTGTTTCTATTCGCCAGGAGCCAGCGCCTGCAAATCAGATGCATCAGAAGTTTGACCAAACAGCCATGTGAACCAAGATCTTGATGTTCTTTACGCTTTAGGGAGGAACCCTGCTTTTACCTTACTAAATGGGACCTTCGCTGGGATGTCCTAAGTGGTTGACCCAGAGACTGTTGATGAAGAAGGATGATAGGAATCGAGGGACTTGATGACATTTAGGGAATATTCTGCTCATGAAACTCTTTCTTCATTTGGAATCCGAAGTTTGGATAGTAGAAATTGAGTATTGCCTTCAAACGAGGTTGAGATGCCATCTGGTGCAGGTCATAATCTTGCTGGGGATTTCAGCCTTATTGAGAGATCTTAACAGTCATGTGTGATATCAGGGGAGATGTCTTGCCGATTGGACTTCAGCAGCTTGAAGATGTCGTGCCATGAAAAGCTCAAGCCGCTTGCAAATCATAGAAACCATCCTGAGTCTGGTGTGGATTGAAATATACCATTTATAGGTGCGGGGATTCGCAGGGATCAGAACAAGAAGTAAATCGAGTGAACTAGGTAGGATTTTGGGTATCTTATTGGACATAGTAGCTAAGATTGAGGGAAAATGGTTCATACCAGATCTAGTTTCTGAGCATTGCACAGTATCTCCCCCCTGGAAACTAGAGAGAAAAAAAAAAGAAGAGAAAATTTGGGCTGGCCAAGACCTTCCCGTAGAGGAAGAATTGGAGAAGAAAACCCTCCCACGTGTCACGGGCAGATGACAGAGGAAAAACGTATCAAAGGAAGAAATGGAATAAGAGAGAAGAAAGAAAAACCAAAAAAAAAAAAAAAGAACAAAAGGGAAGTTCATCTCTGCTTTCAGCCAAAAGAAAAGGGGAACTAGAGTTCCCCTCATTTGGCGTCAGGAGCTGCTGCTCCTTGCTGCCCCCACCTCAGCTCCCCCGCTCTCCCCGAAGATGTGCTGGCTGCCTGACCATAAAAGGTGCAGAATGGTAGTAGAAACCTTAATTTTAACATCGCACACATGCTCAGATCGCAATATAAGTCGTTTTGCCCTTCGTTTATTTCCAATTCAGGCCTTCTATCAGGGCTGGTCAACATGGCGTCCCCAGACTGGATCAGAATGACACTGGCAGATCTGGGTTCATAATCTGATCGAAAGGGTTCTGTGCCCCCTCTTTTGATGGAAAGATTTTAGCTATAAGTTCATCTGGGAATTCTACCTTCTTTCCGAAGCAGTAAGTTATGAACTACTTTCTCGGTGTCCTATCTCAGATGATGTTTATGAATCTTATGATGTTATGAGGCATACTCGATGCTCGGACCGGGTGCGGGCTATGATGATATTCGTCTCTGGATCATGTTTATGAGGAAGTATACCTGGTCTTCGAAGAATTAAATGGGATTCATTATTCATGAATTCCAAACTTGCAGTTATTTTATTTTGTTTAGTAATTTTTTGGGCTCTGCAATGCATGATTCAACTCCATACACCAACTTTATGCAGTGATTTGGAGGTAGACTATGGATCAGAGCTGCATGCTTCTATCGTGTATGCAGCTTTAGCCGTTGATAAAGAGGTAATCTTTCTCGGGTTTACAAAATTCTTTCTGCATTCGCTTTGAATATCTGCAAGAAGTTCTGAAGTTGCTACTTTTTTAAGAAAAATAAATTAATTTTAATGACTTGCAGTTGCAACCAGATAAAGTGAGAAGAGAGATGTCTGTTTCCAATGGAAGGCTGTCAGTGTGAGTCTTTTTCCCATAGATGGTCTTTCTTCTCTCTCTCTCTCTCTCTCTCTCTCTCTCTATCTCATCAGTATGTGTGCTTTTTGGGGTGGGTTCTGTCCCTGGCCTGGCCACCGACACCCATGCTTTTAGACTTATGATTATAGTCCCTAATTGGGTATTGCACACGCTATAATAATCCAGGCATTTTGTAGCAGTTGAGGCGAGATTCCTGCGTGCTTCATTTAGTTCCTTCGTTGACCTACTCAATCTCGCCTCAAGAACCATAGAAGAGTTCAGCCCAGGAGATTCTTCAGCTGCCCAGAGCTCCTGAGGTACCCACATTTATTTAGTTATTTATTTATCTGCTTTCTTCCTTTCCTAAACGGGTTATGTCATTACTATTTTCAGACCAAAGCGGATCATATGACTCTCTAGAAGCATGGCAGATGGGGACCAAGGTCTCTCTCTCTCTCTCTCTCTCTCTCTCTCTCTTTCTGTCCCTATCTCTCTCTCTCTCCTCTGCCTCCCACTGGTTAGCCATTAGTGGAGCACTAGCTCTGTCGGCCATGATTCTTGCGGAGGCCCCTTTGACTATCGCTTTTTTCATAAACAGTTGTTTGAAAATGGCCATCCAACGTGTTTGAAGTCAAATTTGGTGATCCTCGCTGCAGTTGTTGAATCTCTGGGCGTCACCCATGTTAGTGCTGACATTCGTGCCCGGTTGTCGGCTTCTGAGCTGCTCTTCCTTGTGGAAAACCTCTGACTTTTGGTTTGCATTCCGTGGATTTGTTGACCTGCCCTCGCTTGATTTTTATTGTTTATTTATTGAGAATTGATTGCGCGGCGACTCTACAGGCCAGGCCAGGCCTATCCTGTGGAAAATCCCGTGAGATAGACCTTGGGCCCGGCCTGGGTAGAGAGAGAGAGAGAGAGAACGAGAGAGACTAGCAGAATGAAGAAGACACATTCTGTCGCAGTGACATTCGTTTTATCTCGCTCGGGTTGACTTTCACGTATCGAAGGGACAGGGCGGGGGAGAGATCGGGGGTATTTGATGAGAGATTAGCTGAAGGGCCTCTGGTTCGCGCAGTCGTTGCCTTACATAAGAAATCTAGCGAAATGAAGAAGAAACTTTCTGTCGAAGTGACGTTCGTTTTATTTCAGTCGGTTTGACTTTCATGTATCAAAGGAGGGGTGGAGGTCAGCCGAAGGGCCTCTGGTTTGCGCAGTCGAGGTTGGGGCCGACATCAACGCCAAAGATCTGTGCGTAGCGGCGAAAGAATCCGATGCGGTCGTTGACCCGGGAGTCTCCTGGGATGCCGCACTCGAGGCCGCCGTTGATTATGTTGGTGACGAGCCCGAAGCCGGCGGTCCGATTGGCGGCAATGTCGCCGGCGGTGGGGCGGTACCTCCCGACCATGACGTCATGGCAGGACGGCTTTGGCGGCTGTCTCGTCATCCAGAACCATAGCGCCGTCTTGAACGCCACCACCGAGTTGTTCGCTACGATCTCCGGGTTCCTCAGCCCGTCGAACCCCAGCGCCCTCCCCGCCGGGCCGTAGTTGTAGTTCCTGCACCACCCACCCCACGCACAAAAACCAGACACCTTTAGAGCGAGATAGATAGATGGATAGATAGATAGAGAGCGAGCGAGAGAGAGAGAGAGAGAGAGAGAGAGAGAGAGGGAGAGAGAGAGAGAGAGAGAGAGAGAGAGAGAGAGAGAGAGAGAGAGAGGGTGTTACCAGGAGAGCTGGATGGGTCCTCGGCCGTTGTAGGACTTGCCGGGGAAGCAGGGCCACTGTGTATTGGTGGAGTCGCAGTAGTTGCTTGGGGGGCTTATCTCCTCCTTGAAGCACAGGCCCCACGAGTATGGTCCGTCCGGCGCCGTCGCCCACCCCCCTGGAACCCATCCCTAAACCAGTCAAGCACAGAGAGAGAGAGAGAGAGAGAGAGCGAGATAGATAGGTAGGCAGGTAGGTAGCTAGCTAGCTGGATAGATAGATAGATAGAGAGAGAGAGAGAGAGAGAGCGATGATGATGAGGATAATGATCTTCTCCTTCTTCTTCCTCACCGGTGGTCTCATGGGAGATCTGGGCAAGGAAAGCGGCGACCTCGCGCTTGCGGGTGGCCAAGTCGCCGTAGGCGCCGAAGAGAGGGAAGCGGCGGGTGGCCTGGACGAAGGCGGAGTAGGGGTAGAACCCCCTGGCGGGGCAGACGCTGTCGTCCTTGTGCAGGAATAGCGAGTTATATGTCGCCTCGCTGACGATCGACGAAACAGGCCGAGCATTCGCCACCCCCACAAAGCCTCCGCCGCCGCAGAAGAGGAACACGAGGAAGAAGTAGAAGAAGAGCAAGCATAGGTGCAAGTGGGAAGAGGAGTTTCCGGAGGAAGAAGAAGACGACCCAGCGGCCATGTCTCCGGCGAATAGTGGAGCTCCCCGGCTTTACCAGGAGGCATCGCGGCCCGTTTTTATTTTCTCAGAGATCTCGGACCAAAGTTGAACCGACCTGCCGGTAGGTTTAAGCGTTGACTTTCTAAAAATAGAATCTAGGCGGACATGGACCGTCCGATTATGTTGACG